GTCAAGTCATTGTCAAAGATGAATGCAATTATTGTTTTGAGTGTATCTCTCCTATTTAGATCCCACACACCTGTGTTGTGTATAGCTTCCATAATGTGGTGAGCCTTGGCAATGATCATGCTTGCTGAGAATGCGGTTCAACTCAACACATTGAAAGGAATCAGATTACATGGAAAGATGATCATATTCTCAAAGACTCCTAAACCTTGTGGGGACCACAGTGGGTTGTATTCAGCCAAAAAATTAAATACACTGCATAATAATTTGGTTCAATGTTTGAATCAAGAATTTATATCCTTGTCTAGATCTGGGATCACTGACAACCTGCCAGTGTTTGTTGTACAGACCTCCCTAAAAAATGATTGCTGGAATTGAGTATGTCTAGTTTAATGAAGAGAAGGATGAGGGGTGACATGATAGCAGTGTTCCAATATCTCAGGGGCTGCCACAAAGAAGAGGGAATCAAGCTATTCTCAAAAGCACCTGAAGGCAGGACAAGAAATAACAGGTGGAAACTAATCAAGGAGAGAAGCAGCCTAGAACTAAGGAGAAACTTCCTGACAGTAAAAACAATTAACCAGTGGAACAACCTGCCTCCAGAAGCTGTGAATGCTCCAACACTGGAAGTTTTTAAGAAGAGACTGGACAGCCACTTGTCCGAAATGGTATAGAGCAGGGGTGTCAAACTGCCGGCCCACGGGCCAGATGCGTCATCCGGAAGCCGCACCCACCCCATTGCCAGCAATGGCAAAACTGTCCTGATACATTGTGTGATGTCATGTGACGTCGCGAGTTTGACATGTCTGGTATAGAGTTTCCTGCCTGAGCAGGGAGTTGGAGCAGATGACCTCCAGGTCCCTTCCAACTTTTATTATTATTATTATTATTATTATTATTATTATTATTATTAATCATTGCACAGTCAGCCAGATGTTCAGACTGGATTTGGCATTTTGTCTACCTATTGAGTCCTTCCCAAGGACCTGGGATAGGCAGATGTGAATGTTTGATGTTATTACAGATATCGTCGCAGGATGGAAGCAGTTCCTAGTAAGGCCGCCTTTTGCAATTGACTAATAGCGAATTTCTCAATGCCAATGGTGTTCAAGTGGTGCTCCAGTTGTTTTGGGATTGCACCCAAGGAGCCTATGACTATTGGTACTACCCTTGCTTGCTTTTGCCACAGTCTTTCTATTTCTATTTGTAGGTCTTTGTATTTTGTTATCTTCTCCAGTTCTTTCTCGTCTATTCTGCTGTCTCCAGGCACTGCCACGTCCACTATCCAGACTTTTTTGTCTTTCTTATCGACAATTGTTAAGTCTGGGGTGTTATGTTGCAGGTGCTTGTCTGTTTGAATTCTGAAGTCCCAGAGCAGTTTAATTTTATCATTTTCTATGACTTTCTCTATTTATGATCCCACCAGTTTTTGCTTACAGGCAAATGATATTTTTTGCAGATCTTCCAATGCACCATTATTGCTACTTTGTCATGCCGCTACTTGTAGTCAGTCTGTGCAATCTTCTTGCAACAGCTTACCAGGTGGTCCGCTGTTTTTTCAGCTTCTTTGCATAGGCGGCACTTACTGTCTGTTATTATTATTATTATTATTATTATTATTATTATTATTATTATTATTATTATTATTATTATTATTATGGAGCCTAAAACATGGGTCTTTTTGACATTTTGGGAGCACATATGTAGAATTAGGGGCAAAAAACCCCCAAGCCTTGCAGATGCATCCATTTTCTCCTTCCAGTTCTTAGACCTTCTCTTAAAATTGCTATTGGCCCTCAACACATCTGATTTACAAACTAAGTTTTGATTCTTTTTCTCATACACAACTCTCCTCAGTTCTGAGGCACATTTTTTTCCCTCTAAGAATCCATGATATAGAAGAGAATATTTGTAGCTCAGGTTTGAATTGTGGGATCCTTGATATTGTTGAGCTTAGTGGTTTTCTTGCAGATGTTTCATTAATGAACTATTAACTGATGATGTTGCCTAGTTGGATTGTAAAACGTGTATAAGAAAACCACCAAGCTCAGAGAGCAGCAAGGATCCCACAATCCATGCTTTGTTTGCAATTGCTCTAATTTCTTTGAGTGCTGCTAATTCCCTTTCCTCAACAGGTGCATCCAGAAAAAGGTAGCGACAAATTACACCTCCGCGTTAAATACATCCACGTGTATTTTTTTGCGGTGGGGGGGTGAATGACAAAACTTGTGCAGGTAGTCCCCAACTTATGATCATAATTGGGACCAGGAAAGTTATCATTAAGCAGTGCAATTGTTAAGTGAAGCATCACGTAACCATACCCGATTGTATGATTTTGCTAAGTGACACATTAAGTTATCATGATTGGTGATCTTCCCTGCTGGCTCTCCCATTGATTTTGCTTGTTGGAAGCTGGCTGGGAAGTTTGACAATAAGAATCACATGACTCAGGATGCTGCACCCGTCGCAAATACAAGTCAGTTGCCAACACTATCATGTTACTTTGGGGATGCTGCAATGCTTCTAAGTCACCTTTTTCAGCCCTATCACAACTCTGAAGAGTCACTAAAGAAATAGTTGTAAGTGGAAGGTCACCTGTGATTATGACATGCATTCCCTCCCTTTTATGCTTTCACCCTGCTTTCAAGTACTTAATAGGTGGGCTTGCATAAGTTCACAACACATATTTTCTCATTCTGATAAAATCTTTGCTTCCTACTGATAGCAGTAAATACAGCTGCATTCCCTCCAAAGATTTTCCAACTCTAAACAGCAAAATATTTGTGGATTAATATTTTCAGCTGTGCTTTCTTTTTAAATGACATATCCTGTACAGGACCTGAATGAGGCCAAGCAGATGGCAAAAGAGGATTGCTATAGAGCGGAAGAGATCCTGCTATAGGAACTGAAATTGAGGATTAAAAACAATTGTCCTACAAAACACTCCACAGCATCAGATTTGCTTAAAGTGTGCTCTGTGTGGATTAAAAAATAAATAAAATATTATTAATAAGTGCTAAACTTATGTCGATAGAAAAGTATCCATTTAGCATGTCTTAAAGGTTGGTTCAAAAAAACCTAATGGGAGTATTACAGTTAAGATTTCAAGCCAAAATGTGGGTCATAAAATCTAGAAAAATGTTTTCCATTACCAACATGAGACACAACATCACTGCGATGAGGTATTTGGAAACATTAAAGAAAGCGACATATAAAAAAGGGTGAAAAGTTGAAGGGTTAAAAAAAAACTGGGGATTGTAATTTTTGCTGGAGTTGGGATTTATATTATTTATAATTTGAAATGCACAAGAATAAACTCCCTTTACATTTACATATTACATTTTAAAATAATTTTCAGTGCAGTGGCATTAAATATTATTGCACATGGTAATTTCACAGCAGACAGTGACAGATATCTGGTAAATCAGGGGTGTCAAACTCAATTTCATTGAGGGCCGCATCAGCCTTGCGGTTGCCCTTGGGGGGGTGGGGGTGTCTGGCCAGGGTGGGTGCAGCCTACTGGGTGGGCATGGATGGAGTGGGTGTGGCCTACTGGGTGGGTGTGGCCAGCTCTACATCATTCGCCTCAAGGGTGCCTGTGGGGGCCTGGGCGGGAGTGGGACAGATCTGAGGGTCTCTGGCAGAAAGGGGTGGGACCAGGGCAGAGCCTATCAAGCTGGATATGTGAAGTAGGCGAGGGCCATTTGCTGGCCACTTCCAGGCGATGGTGCATTTCTTCATTCCTCACAAAGGGTTACACCTCCCCAGCATGCACCCAGGGGATGGGGCCGACGTGGCAGGGGCTGGTTCCTCGCTATTTCCAGATGGCCTTGTGGAGCTAAAACTGAATGCATTTCAGCATAGATGGCCACCACAAAATTGTACATTGGCTCCCGGCTGGCCTGGGCCAGGGCCAAGGCAGCGGGGGCCGTTCTCTCACTGTTTCCAGGACGGCCTTGCGGGCCACATGAAACCACTTCGCAAGCTGCATCCGGCTCCTGGGCCTTGTGTTTGACATGAGTGTGGTAAATGATTTCTTTAAAACTCAGTTGGATGAACATTTGTACCAAGGGCTGATGCCTTGCACTTTCTCTATGGAGATTCTCCGTCATCCAGGTCATAGTTGTCTCAAAGATGCTTTACCATCCAGTCTAAACTATCAGAATCTATCCTTCCATCCCCCCATCATCCTGTCACAACTGATGAGGCTTCTTGGATTAGAAGCAGAACTTCTTCTTCCTCCTCAAAAAATATTGCAATGGCCTTTTTGAATAAAGTACCTTGCACTTTATACAAGACAATAAATAGATTTCACCCTGAAGCAGGCAGATTAAAATTAACCCTCATAGTTAGGGATACAGACATCTTAGAGCAGTGGTTCTCAACCTTTTTAATGCCGCGACCCCCAACCAGTCATAAGTCAAGGACTACTTAACCAGTCTTAAGTTGAGGACTACTCAACTGGTGCAGCATCGTTTGCAGAATGGGACTTTTGGCGGGCTCAGCAGGGCAGAGACAGCCTGGACAACTCCTATTGGCTTTTGAAAGCCAATAGAATTAGACTCTATTCAAGAGAGTCTATTCTATTGGCTTTCAAAAGCCAATAGAATAAAAGGGAGTAGCATAGCTAAGGAAAAGGGGAAAAAAATGGCGGACTGCATTGTTTGGCGACCCCCGTGAAATGATCATTCAGCCCCAGATGGAGTCCCAACCCACAGGTGAGAACCACTGTCTTAGAGAAAGGACACACTTCACTTTTATCCTTGTGCCTTTCACCCTGCAGGCATAGCTTTAAAAACAAATATTGTCCATTTTGTTTTAGTATCTTGGGGATTTCTTGAAAAAATAAATTAGACTGTTTTCATAACACTAGTCATTCAAACTACGGTGTATTGTGACTGTGTAAATTGCCTGCTTCTTTCTTTTTCACATTTTCACTTTTAAAGTGCTAAAAAAGAGAATGATGGATGTCTACATTCGCTTATGCACGGTTTTTTGAATTGCAATTTTGTGCTAACAAGAAATGACAGATGAACACACCAAACATTATGCAATTGAATACAATGGCTATTTATTGCCCATTTAAATCCATTGCTACACATGTATTACTCAGTATCTCTGTTATCTTTTATGGCACTCCATCACTGGAGGTTTTCAAGAAAAAATTGGACATCCATTTGACTGGGATGGTGTAAGGTCTCCTGCCTTGGGTAGGGGGTTGGACTCGAACAGCGGTCCCCAGCCTCCAGTCCATAGACCAGAATCAGGCCACGGTATTCCAGAAACCAGTCTGCACAAACAAGTGAAACCCCATCTGCAGGATGCAGGCAGCATGTTAAACAACACTCCTTCTGGTACACGGAAAAACATCTGTCCACAGAATCGGTTCCTGGTGCCCAAAAGGTTGGGGGCCACTGGACTAGATGATCTTCAAGGTCCCTTCCAGCCTTATGATTCTATTTTCTACCTCTCTCATCCTGTTACTATGGTTTAAGTGTGCTTCTCACCCAGGCCCAATGAGTTAACAAATTGAAAACGTCTTTTGCCCATGAATGCATTTTCATTCAGTCTGCCCCAAAGCTATGTTTTCCCCAAGCTTTGTTATTCATATTGCATAATTTTGTTTTAGCACCAAGGTTTCTACAAACCAAACTATTGTGCTGTACAAGAAATGACAGTACAATGCTGTGTCAGTGAAGTGCATCTAATGTATCAGAAGCCAGAACACCGAACAAATCTAGAATTAAAGTTGACTTTCGTTACTGAAAGAATTATATGTGATCAATTGAAGTAATAGTGCTGAAGATCTGTAACTGCTGATTTCCCCTGGTCAGCTCCATTTCTGGAAGTTATTCCTATAGTCTCACTTTAATAAAATTTAATAAAGATCCAGTTAACAGAGATCCAATCTCACCTTGCTTCCCATAGCGTTTCAAGAATCTCTAATGGAACGTGTTTATTTTACATCTTGTGGTTTCTGAATTTTTTCAAGTACAGATTCAGCACATTTTGTGTCTAGCATTTTTAGTTAAAAAATTTTCCTTAAATGCACATTTGTATGCATTTCAGCTAATTATATTTGTCCTTTTTTTTGCAAAAAAATAGCCCCTAAATTTATTATGTTTTTTTAAAAACAGGCAACAATTTTATAATATACGCAACCTTTGTACTTTTTATTTAAAAACCATAACTTCATTGCTAAATCCAGGGATGTATAAAAACCAGTGGATATGGTTCAAAAAGAATAAATTAATGGTGTTTATTTCACAATGGAAAACAAATGGATTTTTCTTTTCACAATGCCTTTTTCCAAAATTCATCTAAGCTTCAAACCTTCCAATAGATACTGATCAACCCCAAGGACAGGCTACTTACGTCTGCAACAGCTGGGAATCACATTTCCCAATTCACATGGTCAACCCTTTTACATATTTCCAATAAGAAATTTAAATTTCAGAAATCCAAAATGTTTTTGGATTTTTACTACATTTACTACTAACGTTTTTATTTTTACTACAGTTCAATTCTCTCCATCTTGATGAATCTACCACACAACAGGACACCAGGATACTGAAGTTGGGGAAACCGTTGATGTTCAGTTTTATTTGTGGAGAATTTAGTAACTTCTTTGTTCTAAAACAGTGTTTCTCAACCTTGACAATTTTAAGGCATGTGGACTTCAACTCCCAGAATTCCACAGCCAGCATTGCTGGCTGTGGAATTCTGGGAGTTGAAGTCCACATGCTTTAAAATTGTCAAGGTTGAGAAACACTGTTGTAAAATAAAGGTCTCCAAACTTGGCAATTTTAAAATTTGTGGACCAACTCCCAGAATTCCCCAGCTAGACGTACTGTCTGGGGAATTCTGGGAATTAAAGTCCAGAAGTCTTAAAGTGGCTGAGTTTGAAGACTCCTATCAAATGATGAGCAGCTTTGTCCCTCTCTCTCTGGAGCCCCAATATCTGAATTACCGAGAAAGTTTATGATCAAAACAGCAGATCTAGTCTCTCAGCAGCCCCACTTCCCACCTGTGGCCTTATTGCAACTAGACTTACTTGGATAACTTCATTTCTATTTGTTGCCGGATCTCCTGCCTCTCTTCGTCAGTCCTTCTTGGAAAAATGTTCCTATCTTCCAACTCCTGTTTGCTTGGCCTGTTCCGCAGTTTCACTGCCAGAAGTTCTTTCTTGCATTTTCTTGGCAACGTACCTGGAGCGTGCAATGAAAGACAATGGGAGCACGTTAAGGAGATGAGTCCTAAAATAGCAAAGTTATCTTGTGAATAATAAATATAAGATGTGGCTACTAGAAATATCTTCTGCCAATGGGTCTATATAAGAAGAGCTGAAGGAGAAACAGATAGTCCTCAACTTATGAGGTGGGATCAGAGGTTCCATTGCTAAGCAAGGCAGATGTTCAGTTGCACCTGGTTTTACAATCTTTTTTGCCATGGTTGCTAAGTGAGCCGCTAGAGTTATTAAGTGAATCATGTGGTCGTTGAGCAAATTTGGCTTCCTCCATTTGTCAGAAGCCAACTTGGAAGTCACAAATGGCAATCAAGCCTTGTAAATATGTCCTGGTTGACAAAATTCAATGCCTGAATTTTGATTATGTTAAGGTAGGGATGGTTGCAAGTATGACAACAGGTCATAAATCTTTTTTTTTTCATTGCCCCTGTAATTTCAAATGTTGTTAAATAAATGATTGTAAGTCGAGGGCTACTCGTATTAATGCCAGGAATGCAGATCAGAAGCCTCAATGATTCAGTGAATCTCTGTACTTGGCCTACTATACTTCAAATCAGGTTCCACTTTCTCAGGAAGAATTCTTCTACATAAAAATCTAAAGAACTTTTTTTTTGTTTTTAACTTTGAATCACTCTCAACTCAGGTGATATCTTTAAAATTCGTCTTCTGAACGTTCCTGAATTATTTTCAAGTTAATAGCTCTTCTTTTTTGACAGCAACCCCATGCGCCCTTATCATAGAATAGGTCCTACATTTCACAACACATGAAAGCATTGGATGAGCTTAGAGCAATTTCCGTAAGTGGTTTTTGGTTGTATATTTAATTATTCATCTAATTTTTCCTTCACTCTGATATGTGAATTTCTGTTGTTGAGAAATGATGGAATCATTTCATGATACATCCCAGCCAAGATGATTTAATTCCAGAACAAAGGGATTATGGATTATCAAAAGTATTAGGATAAGAAAGAGAATGTCTGGTTTAGTGTCAAAGAGGAAATTTTGATGGCTGAAGGTGGGCTCCATTTTAGATTTTTCCCAACACAAGTACAACTTTTTCACCATGATCGGACAGACGCCCATAGGGTCATATCCATATTATTACCAGGTTATTGAGCACTGAGTTCATTTCAAGGGAAACTTGTGGAAGGAAGGATGGATGAATTTGCTGGGAAAAAAGGGATTGGAAATAAACCTGGGATGGGAGGGCCAGGGGTAAAAGAAATTTTGTGACTTGCTCCAAGAATTTTGTATTAATTCCAGTTACCATCACTATAATAGTAATAATACCAGTAGTATGATAATTAACAACACAAGAGGGATGACATGATAGCAGTCTTCCAATATCTCAGGTTATTACTATTATTAAGCTATTCTCCAAAGCACATGAATGCAGGACAAGAAGCAACAGGTGGAAACTAATCAAGGAGAGAAGCAACCGAGAACTAAGGAGAAATTTTCTGACAGTTACAACAATTAATCAGTGGAACAACCTGCATCCAGAAGCGGTGAATGCTCCAACACTGGAAGTTTTTAAGAAGAGACTGGACAGCCACTTGTCTGAAATGGTATAGGGTTTCCTGCCTAAGCAGGGGGTTGGAATAGAAGACCTCCAAGGTCCCTTCCAACTTTATTATTATTATTCCAATATCTCAGGGGCTGCCATAAAGAAGAGGGAATTAAGCTATTTTCCAAAGCACCTGAAGGCAGGACAAGAAGCAACGGGTGGAAACTAATCAAGGAGAGAAGCAACTAGAACTAAGGAGAAACTTCCTGACAGTGAGAACAATTAATCAGTGGAACAGCTTGCCTCCAGAAGCAGTAAGTGCTCCAACACTGGAAGTTTTTAAGAAGAGACTGGACAGCCATTTGTCCGAAATGGTGTAGGGTTTCCTGCCTGAGCAGGGGGTTGGACTAGATGACCTCCAAGGTCCCTTCCAACTTTACTACTATTACTATTAAGAGGGCCAAGTCATTCTGTTTTAGATATAGAGAGACACAGACAAACACACAAACACTGAAAAAAGAAATACACTGGAAAAAAATCTTTCCAGATGGATTCATGGGAATCCCACATCTTTACATCACTCATTTAAAAGGCCAACTGAGCTTTCTCACCTCTTGTTCAATGCACCTAACGCCACCCAGCGCCCAAAAGTAAAAAATATCCCTCCTACTGAAAACACAGCAGAATACAGATAATCCTTGATTTATGACAACAATTGAGCCCCAAATCTCTGTTGTTAAGTGAGACATTTGTTAAGTGAGTTTTGCTCCATTTTATGACTTTTCTTGCCACAGTTGTGGCAAGCAAACCACTGCAGTTGTTAAGTTAGTAATACGGTTGTTAAGTAAATGTGGTTTCCGCATTGACTTTACTTGTCAGAAAGTTGCAAAGTTGATCACATGACCCCGGGACTTGGCAACCGTCATAACTGTGAGTCAGTTGCCCAGCACCCGAATTTTAATCACATGATCATGGGGATGCTGCAAAGATCTTAACTATGAGAAACAATCATAAGTCACATTTTTCAGTGCCATTGTAACTTTGAACAGTCATTCAATGAACTGTTGTAAGTTGAGGACTACCTCTAATAGAATTACAGAGTCTTCTAGTCCAGCCCCCTTCTCAAGCAGGAGACACTATACCGTTTTGGACAAGTGGATGTCCAGTCGCCACTTAAAAACCTCCAGTGATGGAGCACCCAAAACCATTCCACTGTTTGACTGTTCTCATTGTTAGGATGTTCCTCCTTAATTCCAGGTTGCTTCTCTCCTTGATTAGTTTCCATCTATTGTTTCTTGCTTTGCCTTCTGGTGCTTTGGAGAATAGATTGCCCCCCCCTTCTTTGTGGTGACCTCTCAAATCCTGAAACACTGCTGTCATGTCACCCCTAGTCCTTCTTTTAATTAAAGTAGACATACCCGAATCCTGCAACCATTAAATAATATAATTGCAGCAAAATATGTCAGCTGCAATCCAAGATACTAGGGAGATATCATTATTTCCTTTGTGACCTCTGTGGCTTAACAATGAAAGCCTGGTGTCAACTCTGCAAATGAACCTGATTGCAGCCATTTCCCCCCTTATTTGCAGTTGCCACCTTGGAATGGAGGGGGGTGGGTTATCCAGGTGCTTCTCTAGTCATAGCAATCAGCTGTCCCATGGGAACCAAGGTCATCTGTTGCTCCTGTGATCAGAGACTGGCTTTGTATAAGAAAGTTTGCCAAATGCAGTTATTGGAGAATGTAGTCAATTGCATAGTTTGGAGGAGTAAGTGGGAAATTTATACTTTGTAACTGGGGAATTGTTACTGGGAATTCAGACTTGGTTTCAGCTTTGACCGTGCTGATACCTTGTAACTAATAAACATGCTCTTTGAGGAATTTGCAAGTCTCTGAGTTCTGCTTTATTTGTCTCTGTTGGTCAAAACCATGACACTTGGGCCTCTTTCAATTCAAGGGGGATGGATTTGGATCTCTTAGAAGGACTCTAAACTGATGATAAACATTTAACTCCACTCTCCAGCTCTGTCTGTCCTTCTCATGTACTGCCCTTCTCAAGTACTGATTACTCTTTCCAGAGGTCAACACTGCTGTGCAATTTTTGAAATTAGGCTGAAGTTTACATATGCTCCTCTGTCTGCAAACTTTCTTCTTTTCAAATGTAACTGAACCAGAAAGCAAAAACAAACAACCAAGAAAGGGGGAAAAAAAGAAAACAAAAAGAACAAGTAAGCAGCAGGTACTGTTAGATAATTGTCCAAACAGAGTGAACATTAATGGGTGAGAAAAATGGGAAAAGAGAAGAGAACTTGGAAGGGAATTTTGGTCATTGTCCTTTCAAGACTGAATGAAGCATCCATATGAAGTATCAAAAATATGGGTTAGACCACATCACCACCAGATGGATTCGTAGCTGGCTGACTAGCTGTACTCAGCATGTGGTCCTCCATGGAACTGCATCTACATGGAAGGAAGTGTGTAGTGGGGTGCCCCAGGTCTCTGTTCTAGGCCCAGTGCTCTTCAACATCTTCATCGATGATTTGGATGAGGTGATAGATGGGGAACTCATTTAAATAGCCAACACTCCAGAAGATAGGGTTAAGATACAGAAGGATCTTCACAGACTTGAACATTGGGCACCATCTAACAAAATGAAATTCAATTGTGAAAAAAGTAAGGTTCTACATTTAGGCAAGAAGAACTAAATGCACAAGTATAATATAGGTGGTACCTTGCTCAACAGTAGTAACTGTGAGATGGATCTCGGAGTCCTAGCAGACAATAATTTAAATATGAGCTAGCAGTGTACTGCAGCTACCAAAAAAAGCCAATACAGTGCTAGACTGCATTAACAGAGGGATAAAATCAAGATCATGTGAAGTGTTAGTACACTTGGTAAGGCCACACCTGGAATACTGGATCCAGTTTTGGTCACCACAATGTAAAAAAGATGTTGAGACTCTAGAAAGAGTACAGAGAAGAGCAACAAAGATGATTAGGGGACTGGAGGCTAAAACATATGAGAGAGGAGAGGATAATCATTCAAGGAGAGAAGCAACCTAGAACTAAGAAGAAACTTCCTGACAGTTAGAACAATTAATCAATGGAACAACCTGCCTCCAGAAGCTGTGAATACTCCAACACTGGAAATTTTTAAGAAGAGACTGGACAGCCATTTGTCTGAAATGGTATAGGGTTTCCTGCTTGAGCAGGAGGTTGGACTAGATGACCTCCAAGGTCCCTTCCAACTTTATCATTATTACTATAAAAACCTAGATGGAGATGTAGGGTTGAAGGAATTAAAAAAGAAAAGTGATTGTCCTCTTACTCAGAAAGTAGAAACTAAGTTTTGATAGTTCCTTGTGGAAGAAATCCCAATGGGAGAAAAGGAGCTTCCTCACATGTAAGCATCAGAAAAAGGATTGGATTTAACACTGAAAGATAGCTAAGGAAGAATCACAGATCTTGGGCATAATGGAAATCACAAGAAGACAGTCAAGGTATCACAAACAACAACAAAAAAGGTCAAACAAGATGAGATCGAATAGAATCCTTTAAAGAGGACAATGGATAAATACTCTTCAAGTTTGTTAAAAACTGGACTTCTAAGTTAGGAGAAGGACTAGAACGGAGTTGGAGGAGACATCTTTGAGATGTTGAGAGCCAATATGGTGCAGTGATTAAGACTGCAAGGTACAGACTATGAGTTGTAGTCATGCCTGTCTTAGGCATGAAAGCTGGCTGGGTGAGTTTAAACCAGTCAATCTCTCTCAGCCCAACTCACCTCACAGGATTTTGGTTATGGGGAAAGGAGGAGGAGGAAGGTTAGGTTAGTTATGTCAACTGCCTTGAGTTATTTATCAAAATAATAAAGGTGGGAAATAGAATAGAATAGAGCTGGAAGGGACCTTGGAGGTCTTCTAGTCCAACTCCCTGCTCAAACAGGAGAACCTATACCAATGGTGGCGAACCTATGGCACATGTGCCACAGGCGGCACTCGGGGCCCTCTCTGTGGGCACACATGCTGTCGCCCCAGCCCTGCCTCCCCCACGACCCCCTCCTCACCAGCAGCCCCCCCAGAGGGGAGTCGCCCCTGAATGGGGCCCAAGACTCTGCCCTCGCACTCTATTGTGCACAGATGATGCTGCAGGGTGCAGGCAGAGGGCATGGCCGCTATGGCGCTGCTGGGACACCTGGGCGATCTGCAGTGGGTTGTGGAAGCGGGCGGAGGCAGGGAAGAGCAGGCTGGGGGCAGGGGCGGAGTGGGCAGGAGAGGCGGGGAGGGGGTGGTTTTTGGGCACTCGGTCTCTAAAAGATTCGCCATCACTGACCTATACCATTTCAGACAAGTAACTGTCCAAGTCTCTTCTTTATAAAGGGGGGAAATAAATAAAATAACTTAAAATTAATCCTTGAAAGATGCTGACTGAGGTTGCTGAATTTGTTTCTGAAGAAAGAAACTTCAGATCCTTCAGAATAAGAAGTTGTCTCCTGGCGGATAAGCATTACCTCCACCAATTCCTACGATAATCATCTGGATAGTAACTGGAGGGAGAAGACAAAATTAATTGTAGATTGCTTTTAATGTAATTGTAGGAGCATTTGAATGTGGATGTTTTGAATTTCTGCAGCATTTTTTCTGATGACTAGAAAGATTATTTAAAAATGCTTTGCTACATCCTCAGGTTGCAAGAGAGATGACAAAAAGACATTTTAACTACTAGTCTATTAGCCAGGTAATGAATTTAAAATTGCTTAGCAGAGATGCAGTTCAAAAGAAATTCCAAGGGATGGCAGCAAAGCATAAGAAGACAGAAGTAAGGCATCAACAAAGAGTAATGTGTCCTACCCAGAACTACTATAGGGCAGAAAAGAAAGAGATTATTTCAACCTTGAAGGACTATCAGTGTGGGTTTTTATAGACTCAGAAGAACAAAATTATTGTCCAGGAGGAAGAAGGTCTGAAATGAAGGTGAGAAGGAGCCAGGTAAGCCACACTAGACAAGAAAATAGAGATGCATAGGAAATGGAATCCAACAAAATAAAACTTCAAAGAAAAGAGGCAGAACAATGATGAGAGATTGCCCAGCAGCATCCATGGTACAACGTTCCGCATTTAAGAATGGTGTATGCATGACAGACCCTTCTGTGTGTAGCACAGGATCAATTGTCAACCTCTTGACGTTCTCTGCACATGGTTGTTTGCCTGTAGATATTTCTAGTTAACAAAATACCTGTAGGAAAACAACCAAGCTCAGAAAACCCCACAAACCCCACACAAGGAGACATCCTCGTCTTTCAGGGTAAGTTTTTATAAGGTTCATAAATGGGTTTTTCTTACCAGAAATTATGGAATCATTCAAAACTTCTTCATCCTCATAGAAAATGGAATCATCCTTGATTTCAGAGTCCATGATCAGATTTTCTTTGTTCTCATCCAACTCCTTAACAGAATTCCATTTGTTTTCTGGATCGCTATTGTAGCTCATGGAACCATCCTTCTCTTTGCTATGTTCAGTGCTGGATGTTCTGGACAAACGGATCTCCATTCGTTTTTTGGGAGACGCCTTGTTTTCTCTTCCATGAAAGCTGGAGACAAAATGCAAGCAACATTGGGTTTCAGACCAGGAATCAATGCTTGCAACATGTTCTCCCAAGCACTGTGCAGGGAGCTGTGGCGTAGGTGGCAGGGGATTTCAGCGTTCAATATGGGAAAGCTGAGATCTGAATATCTGCCACAAGATGAAGGTACAAGATGACAGTGATGGATGCTTTGCTTTGAAATATGCTAACATGGCATGCCAGGCTGACCTTTTCAAAGAACAGCATGTATGTTTCTAATATAAACCTTAATTAAAACAAAACATCCATATTCTGATCATTTATCACTTTATGGAAAATAACAACAACAAAAACCATGCAAAAGAAGCACGCTATCACAAAATTTGGGTTAGTCACCTAAGCATTTTCTAGGGTTGAGTCTGAGATTTTTGCTCAGTTCTACTTCTATAGCTCTAATTAGTGCTGTAGTTCAGTTTTGGTTTTGTTCAGGCTCTAAGTATTTCTTTTCCTGGTTTCCCCATCAGTTTGTACCTTCAGCCACAAAACCCTCCTTACACAAACATCTGATCACATTTTCATACATTTGTGACCTTCCCTGCTGACTTCTGACAAAACCAATGAGGGAACCACATTTGCTTAATGACTACATGATTCACTTAACATTTCATTTCTCCTAACAGATGCATTCAGGAACCCTCTTTTCTCACAATACTTTCTTTTCCTTATATAATCTAGTTTTCTGCATGTTTCCATCTAATGCACACATTGTGGTACACATTTTCCTTTTTTAAAAAAAATACAAAAGCCATGTAGACGTTTCAACTGTGAACTGCACCACACATTTCTGAAAAATACAAAGTAAAAACACACCAATGCCTTCTGGTCAAAGAGTCCAAGGCTTCAGCACAGTTGCATAAAAATCTGAATTAAACGCATTTCTGTCCAGTACAGCCTACATCATTCTGTCCAAGTCACTTTTACACTATATTTGATTGGCTTTCTTATTGGAGAAAGAACAGCAAGATTCTAGTATTCGGGCCTCCTTCAAAACATCTGTATTAACACGTCTACAATATGGTGAGGTAGGTTAGCCTACTCATGTGATGGAATGTGCACCTGGAGGAGCAGTGAGGGAGAGTTTTGGCAACATAGAGCAGTGTTCTCAACCTTGACAATTTTAAGGCATGTGGACTTCAACTCCCAGAATTCCACAGCCAGCATTGCTGGCTGTGGAATTCTGGGAGTTGAAGTCCACATGCCTTAAAATTGTCAAGGTTGAGAAACACTGAGTCATAGAGCTTTCCCAGGAAGGACCCCAGATGAAGAGACTGTGTATCCCTGAGTTGGATACTGGAGGGGGAAGAGGTTCAGCGTATTGTGGGGTCCTTAGTGCTTTCTGAACTTCGTTGTTTTCTTGAAGACATTTCATTACCCAACTAGGTAACATTATCAATCCCAGAGAGCACCAAGGATCCCACAATTCAACCCTGAGTTATAAATATTCTCTCCGTAAGTTCAGGGTAGCCATACCCTAGAACAGTGGTTCTCAACCTTTTTAATGCCACGACTACTCAACCAGTCATAAGTCGAGGACTACTCAACCAGTCGTAAGTCGAGGACTACTCAACTGGTGCAGCATCGTTTGCAGAATGGGACTTTTGGCGGGCTCAGCAGGGCAGAGACAGCCTGGAGAATTCCTATTGGCTTTTGAAAGCCAATAGAATTAGACTCTATTCAAGAGAGTCTATTCTATTGGCTTTCAAAAGCCAATAGAATAAAAGGGAGTAGCACGGCTAAGGAAAAGGGGGAAAAAATGGCGGACTGCGTTGTTTGGCGACCCCCATGAAATGGTCGTTCGACCCCAAATGGGGTCCCGACCCACAGGTTGAGAACCATTGCCCTAGAATCTCTCATGCTATGACTAGCAGGGTAAAAGATTATAGCTTTAGTTTGGCAAGATTCTGTCCATTTGGTGTAAGCAAACAAAGGATCAAACTCAACTGAATTTTGCCGTGTCTTCTCTAAGTTTGGGTCTGACAATTCTTCTACTATAGAAATCAAATTGCCATTTGGTAAGCAACTGAATCATAGAACATAGACTCCTAGGGCTGGAAGAGACCTTGGAGGTCTTCTAGTCCAACCCTCTGCTCAGAGCAGGAGACCTTATATCATCCTGCACAAATGACTGTCCAATCTTTTCTTGAAAACTTCCAGCAATAAAGGATCCTTGATTCTGGGAGGCCAGCTGTTCCACTGATTCATTGTAACAGAATAACAGAGTTGGAAGGGACCTTAGAGGTCTTCTAGTCAAACCCCTGCTCTACAGTAGCAGGACACCCTACACCATTCCAGACAAGTGGCTCTTCTTAAAAGTCTCTTCTTAAAAGCTCCCAGTGATGGAGCACCCACAGCTTCTGAAGGCAAGCCATTCCACTGATTAATTGTTCTCACTGTCAGGAAATTTCTCCTTAGGTTTTAGGTTGCCGTTCTCTTTGATTAGACATTCTAAGAATGAATCATGTCATTCTTAGGTTTGTATCGGATATTATAGCGATAAGTGTAGGAAAATGATTTGGGCCAATGTGAAAAATGAATCTGAGATAAGGAATGTCTACTGCCATGGATGCTTCACGGGAGCTTTGCTTCATAGGGTATTGCAGGCGTTTACCTGTCCTGCCGATGTTTTGTGGCCAAGGCTCTGTGAAGTTCCTCGATGACTCGGCTAGGAGGTAAAGGTAGGTGGACAGCAGCCAGGTGAGGGGATCCAGTTGGCGTGGAATGCTGCCCTCTGAGGTGGGGATCAGAGACTTTCGGTCCTGAGGACTGGAAAGGAACAGCTTGTCCTGAGTGTTGGGAGGAGCCAACAATGACGTAATTTTTCAAGACAGTGGATGGGGGAGATTTCAAGGCTGTCTCATCGGCTTCACTTCCTGCAGCTGGAAAGAAAATCAGAGAAGGTCATTCATGGTGGGATACAAATGGCAGGTTTCCATTCATTCCACAGGGGGAAAAGACATCAGTGCTGCTGCTCTTTAACTGAGTCTTTGCAAAGGGAAGACCTCAGAAATCTCCTTGCCCTCCCTCTCTTTTGGGAGGGCAGCTTTAAAAAAAAAAATCAAGATGGTGGCCGCAAGTCCAAAGTTGCAGGAGGGAGGGGTTATTTCCCAGAAGGCAAAGAGACACCAGAGCTTGGAATGTCTGGTGGGCAGGAAGAAATGACAATAGAGCAGTGGTTCTCAATTTTTTTAGACCGGCGACCCCGGTCATAAGCAGCTGGCGCGCATGCGCGGGGCCGCCCCTGTGTGGCACGCATGTGTGGGGCCGCCCCCTGCGTGGCACGCATGCGCGGGGCCGCCCCTGCGTGACACGCATGCGTGGGACCGCCCCCTGCGCAGCACGCATGCGCAGCGCCGTCCCTGTGTGGTGCGCATGCGCGGCAGCACCACCATGTGCCACCCCCTGTGTGGCACGCATGTGCGGCGGCACCACTATGCGCCGCCCCTGCGTGGCACGCATGCATGGCACCGCCCCCTGCGCTGCCCCCTGCGCTGCCTCCTGCACGGCACGCATGCGTGGCACCGCCCCCTGCGCCGGCTGAGAAAAAAATGGCGGATCGCGTTGTTTGGCGACCCCCGTGAAATGGTCTTTTGACCCCAAATGGGGTCACGACCCACAGGTTGAGAACCACTTCAATAGAGGAACTACTCCGAAGTCACTCCACATGTCAGTCTCGGTTCTTGGACATGACAGCAATTATGCCAAGGCCCACCCCTTACTTTGTACATTACACACGTGATACATGCAAAACGGGGGAAGGGACTTTAGTCATATGATTGCAGCTGCCTTCTTGACTTTTTTGACTCTCCTCTAGATACTTCTGTCCCCAAGGAACTATAGATGATCAACTGACCACAGGAACAACTCTTCAGCCAATTTTTGTAAATGCAGGTAGTCAAACCATCCTCCCAATTTGCAAGTGCTTCACCCAGCATCTGCAGCACTACGGGAGGGAAATTCTTCATTTTTTCTTCGAAATGAGGACTCTGTATGGTATCATGAAGCAAATTTGAGGGGTTGCTTTGCTCAAACCTTCATTGAAGTAAATCTCCAGCAGAGATCTGTGCAGCCCCACTATGTGAATTCTTGCTGTTATTTACTTTGGGAGGGTATATTGGCATAACCCTGATATCATTTTTGAAATATGGGCTGTGATGGATGTCCTCATAAATATGGGATCTGATAGAAACATAGAGGGCTGCGTATTACCATATGAGTGAAACCAAAAGCATTTCATGTATGATAGAGCTTCGGGCTTAGGGCTTATTAAATAGTCTATTTCACAGGATATTTAATTCAATTCACCCCTTAAAACAAGCCTGGGAAAAAAAACAGTATGCTTCTGTTTGAGGTGCATGGAGATGAAAAATTGTAGATTTCTGCCAGCTACTTCTGGATACCAGCGAGACATGAAATTTAAATGGAGAACTTCAGAGGGCAACCCTGTGATGTCTTCTCAGATAACTCTTACTTTTTACTGAGATTTATGAATGGGGCTTTGACAAGCTGGATAGGAAGAGTACTGAGTTCTTTGAACTTTGGTGTCGGAGAAGACTTCTGAGAGCACCATGGATGGCCAAGAAAACCAAACAATCAATGGATGATCAGAAAATCAACCCAGAATTCTCACTGGAGACACAAATGATCAGGCTCAAATAATCCTACTTCAGACACATCATGCAAAGACCCAGCTTTCTGGAAAAGGTTTTAATGCTGGAGAAAGGCTATAAGGTTGGGAAAGATGGAAAGATGGAAAGAAAGAAAGAAAGAAAGAAAGAAAGAAAGAAAGAAAGAAAGAAAGAAAGAAAGAAAGAAAGAAAGAAAGAAAGAAAGAAAATAAGACAATCAGCAGCATGGTTGATGGACTAAGTTGCAGTGGCAATAGTTGTTTGAAGAATCCCTTAGCTGGACAGACAGCACAGCATCTAGTTTAAAGATAACTCTAAGTAGGGAACGCAAATAACATTTGGAAAGTAGAATTAAAAGTAGTAAATCTAATTGCCTAGCTATATTCTTCTTGACTGTAGTTTTAACTGAACAATACTGTATTTCTATTTAGCATCTGTTCTAAATCTGTATCTAACTACATAAAGAGAATCGTCCTCTTTGACAAGGCTATACATGCATATGGTTATGGTTATATGGCACAACACTTAAATTCATAGTTTGAATTTACAATGAGAAGTCCTGAAGTTTCCATTTGTTTTGATGCTATTAAAGACAGGAGGTCAAAGATTAGAATTAGAATAAGCTTAAGAGAAGAAATAAAATAATTCCATCAGAGAAAAGTTTTGTTGGTTAGCCCAAGAGACAGCTTGAACATACACGGCCCAAGAATTATCGCAGCATCAGAGAATCCAATAACTCTTTGCAATGTATTTATCCTAATATAAAAGTATATAAGCTACCCAGAGATCTTCCAACTTCCCAATCCATTTCTCTTTATCAAAAAAAAAAGTCCTCTGAATTTCTCCAGAAATGGGACAATACATAAACATATCTTAGACTATCTAAATTCCTTCTGAACATTGCTGTAGGGATTTTTCAGCCTCTGTCTTTCAGAAGAACAGGTCACATTAAACCAAACTAAAAGCTCCTCTAGTATTTATTGGCAGAATATTGATTTCTACCAGTTCTTTGTTCAGTTGAACCAACATACATAGAAAGGCATCATATTCAGATGTCACCTCTTCCATCTCCAGCAGCTTTGGCTGAAAATCCTAACTCTGCATTTTTGAGTATGAAATCTGAATTTGGATTTAGAAGTTTTCATATCTCATCTGTTTGGTCCTTGAGAAGCATTAAATCTGAAATGACTTAAGCTGTCAAATGTCACCATATGTTATCAACCAAATGCCAGTTTTCGAACATGTCAGTTCTTAAACACGCTCTAAGTCTACAAATCATTGAACTATAGGTAGAATTGCTGTGATAAAAGATACCATCATCACCACCACAGCCACACATATGTGAGCTGTGTTCATTATAAGGTACCTCTCACACACTACATGGAAACTAGCAATCTTTTTAAACTATGGGATTATGCATTTCATGGGTCATCGTGAGGTCTTCTCCCATCTTCATGATTCCATGGCAGATCAGTCTTCCTTCTAATAAAAGACAGCTCCCCTTGGCTGAATGAGACTCACCTGGTACAATCTTTGAGACTTTGGGTACAATCTTAGGTGGTGGAACTGAAAGTGAGGAGGGAGGGTTAGGGGCCTGGGCTGTGTTCCTTTCCATCTGTTTGTGGGGGGAGTCGATGGATCCCAAAAGTAGTAAGGCTTGTGGAGTCTCTTCAGAGGCTGGCAGGCTGGCATTTTCCCGTTCATCTGTGGATGCTGATGTCTTCTTGGCTGAGAGGAGACAGGATCAGAGGCAATGGGACATGAAATACACCATAACAGCAGCACAAGGGGAAGGGCAAGAAAGAGAGAAAAGGAAACATAGGTGTGGTGTTATAGTAGGCAACAAAGAACTCATTGTGTTCACCTCCAGTCAACAGACCATTCCAGCAACCAGGCAGCCCAGACTGTAGATAAAAATGACCCATAGCTTCACCACCCAACTCTCTTTTAAGAAAAAGGGTAGAGCTGAGAAGATCTCAAAAGATCTCAGTTCTCTTTCTCCCTCCTGAAAAATGTGCACAAATGCTTTGAAGGATGTGTGGTGGGCTTCAGGGCCAGCTCTACTGTTTGGAAAAATATCAGATGTTAGGGGACAGCAGACTCTGTATACCCTTTACTACAGCCAGAATTGCTCCTGAGTGTAAGAGGATAACACGGTATGTGTGTTAAGGAGGGCATTAATTAAATGCAGAAATCTCATGTGGGTTTCCTATCTACTATTTCAGCTGAACCATACCCCTCCTAAACTTCTAAAATTCAATAACTAAAATGACAATACAAAACTACAAAGGAGCTCAATGCTCCTAAATGCTCAAGAGACGCTGATTAACTGCCCATATTCAGTCATGGGTGTTTGAAAATTCTCCTAATATATACTGAAAAGAGTGGATCTATTATGATAAGAAAAAAATGATACATATATTTTTTAAAAAACAAAAACACAACAGTTTAGTCCTAATTATGAGAACAATACAAAAGAAGAGAAAGAGTCAATAACTGCTCTATTCAAAGCTGAAGATGATTCTGGGAGATGACAGAATTTCATTACTTTAAACAAAATTATAAAGGATTGAACATTTATATCTGAACTGAAGGGCACATTTCTGATTAAGACAACCTGAAATGAAATGAATTTGTATCTGAGCAAAAAATACGGATAGGTTTGGCTTTATAGAGGGGAAAAAAACAAAGCCATGTTTCACCTTACTCTTTTAAACACCAGCGTATTTCACCCTGGAAGGAAGTCAGTTCAAGTCTAGTTAGTAAAGCAAATGGGTAGCCAGGCAGAATTTAAGATTCCTGCAATGAATGGAGAGATGGGATATTTCTGGGGGAATTCTCAGGAGTTTCTGGGGAGAATGGAATGGAAGAGAACTACTAATATCTGTGGAGTATGAGGTACCTATTCTTGTGTTCTGCATCTTTCTTCTCCAAGCATAAGATCTTGAAATGATTTCAATGACCATTTTGGGGTAGAAGAACATTGATTGTTTAGCAATTACATTTAACATTTGTAGGTCCCTGCAGACACTGTGGCCAAAATGTTGGTGCAAAATAGATCAAGCCTAGTAATGAGTATATATTTTAGGAGCTGTTATTAAGAAAATTCTATCAAGGCTCTCTGAGGACATCTGGCACAGCTTTCTTGAATGTCTCACCTCAAAATAACTAAAACCTTCTTGCCAGTTTTTAGCAACTGTAGTCAATGGACTGGGAAAAGGGAGTATTAATAGTGGCACGTGGCCTTGGCATCTTAACTTATTCATTTAATCAATGAAAATGGATCTACAAGACACATGAAAAGTGCTAATGGTGTTTTGGATTTGCTTTGTCTTGGTCCATTAACAGAAATGTCAGAAAGGACAACTATATGAAGAATGCACACAAATTTGGGATTAAAAACCTACTGACCCCAGTAGAGTTAGTACATGAACAAAAGAGCAGAAATCCAGCAGCAACCCTAAAGCAGAAATACACAACTAGGTTTCCCTGCTCCACCTTATTTGGATCACAGTTCCCATTTATCTTAATCACTACTGTTCTATCCCAGCCTATGGCCGTCCTTGTTAAAGGCACAAGGACCAAACCACTGTTGAGAAAATAGACTGGAGACTCAAAACAAAACAAACCCCTTTTAATATGGGTAACCTGCCAAATAGTCCAGAAACAAAAGCAGCAAAACACAATCCAAATGGAGGAAATTGTCCACACGAAACACGATGCAAACAGAAAAGTAGTCACCGGCAATACTAACAGAATGTGATCCCATGAAGTACTTTGCAATGGTTGCCTTCAGCAATCAGCACCGCCCACACCTTCCCTTTTTATACAGCAGTTCCAAGGCGTTGCCTCTCAGTGCCTTCTCCTCCTCCCCTGGAGTTGTCGTATTGAATGCTGCTGATCTGCTCTCGCTAATTGCCGGAGTCTACAAGCATCAATCATCGTGTCCATCAGGTTTGAATCCTCCAAGTCTGACTCATTCTCCCCACATAGCTGAGCTTCATTCGGAACATGACTGGAGAATCAAACCATGAGTCTTGCAATTCATCAGAGCCTCCCTCTGACCCTGATGGCACTTCAAATGCCTCCTCCACCTCCTCCTCAGATTCAGCTGTTGGGAACACAGGCTGGCACGGAATCACGACAACTACCCAGTGTTTACATTTAATTACAATTCAAATTAAAAATTTGGGCGATATCACTTTATATCTGCTCTAGCAGGTAAACGTGTAAATAATGCTCTTTATATCAATGAAATGGAACAGCATAATCCTTAGAAGCTATTATATTGGGATGAGCAACATAAAAAATATAAGCCACCTTAAACATTAAACAGAATTCCTTTTGAATTTATTCCAACGAGCCATAAAAATATGCCATTGGTTGTCTAGCCACAGAATTTGAGTAATGGGAACAGAGTATAAGCCCCAACAAATCAAATGATTGATTGATTTGATTTATTATTGATTTAATTTATTGATTTATTATTGTATCTTATGATTTATCACTTTGTTGCTTGTATGTACACTGAGACCTTATGCACTGGAGATAAATTCCTTGTGAGTCCAATCACACTTGGTCTATTCTATTCTATTCTATTCTATTCTATTCTATTCTATTCTATTCTATTCCATTCCATTCCACTCCACTCCACTCCACTCCACTCCACTCCACTCTCACACACTCCTATCAAGTTGTTTTTGACACTCAATTACTACTTAGATAAAAGATTCTCCAGGATGAATTGTCCCCCGCTAGGCCTTTAATAAACATGTTTGCCTAATAGATTACCTTCACTTTACAAATATCATTCTGAGCAGAAATATTAAAGATAGAAGTTCAAAAACATTTATATTTCTCTTCAGCTTTGCCTGGATGTATACAGTGTATGTAAATGAGAAAGAAGGGGACAGGCATTGATTTTCAATTGCTTGATTTTAAAATACACTTTCTGGACTTTTAATTTTAATTCTGTATTCATAATGAAATTCCTTGCATTCTAGTTTTTGTTTTTCATTTATTTTCTGCCTTGGAAAAATCCCATTGAGAGAGAGTGAGATTTAAATTTTATATTTTGTAAGCCACTCAGAGTCTTTTTGAAATCAGATAGCCTTCAAAAACCTACTGAGTGAGTAAATAATCCATGGTAGTTAAACTTCAAGAAATGAATTGGATTGTCCTAAACATGATAAAATTAAAACAAAGAATGCACTATTGAAGCAATTCAGATGCTTGGCAGCTTAGCCACTAGAGGGCAGCTAATGAAGGGAACAGATGTTTTAAGGTTTTTCTTCACATTTCTTTCTGTGACAATATTGTAGGGATATTACGAAAGCTATTTGCTACTCACCATTTTTCAAAATCCTTTCCAATAAGATAAGTACATTGATACTCATATTTTTTTTGCCTTCAAGGAAAGCATAAGATGTATAGTTTTATGAAAACTAGCTTTTGTTGCAATACACCCTGATATGCTCCACATATTAATATTTTATGTTTAATCATGGTGTATCTATATCTTAGTGTGTCTACACTGGAGCAATGTACAGTGAAATCGCATGCATTATTTGTGAAGGGAAAATATATGGCTCCGTGTGTCAAAACATACAACTATTGGAAACATACAGGCCAAATGTCAGTCCTTTGACACTACTTCCTAAAATCACTTATTGTTCCTCTCTTGAGATGATTACTAGTCTCATCAGGGGCTTTTTAATCACATATCACACTGAACTGTGTGGTCAGATTCATATTTCCCTTTCACAGTTCAGATCCTTAAATTCTTTCACTGATCTCCGGTCTAGTTCCGTATCATGTCATCCCCTATAGTTGAACGGTAGTTTTGAGGAAGAGGAAGAAGACATTTCCCTTCTCATCCAAGGAGCTTCATCAGTTGTCACAATTGATGAAGCTTTCTGGATGAGAATGGAAATGTCTTCTTCTTCCTCAAAAAACAAAACAAAACAAAAATATAGTCCAGTTGCCTTTTTAAACAACCAACTTTGAGACAACTATGACCTGGATGACTGAGAATCTCCCTAGACCAGGGGTAGGCAACCTTGGCTCTTTTATGACTCTTGGACTTCAACTCCCAGCATGGCTGGCTCAGGAATTCTGGGAGTTGAAGTCCACGAGTCATAAAAGAGCCAAGGTTGCCTACCCCTGCCCTAGACATTTCCCCATAGCTGAACTTCCCCATGGCTTTTCTTCTTGCAGCTTAACTGGGTTTTCTTTTAAATGCAGCCTTCAGCAACCCAACCTGTGGTTCCCATAGTTCAGGAATTCTGGGAGTTGAAGTCCACAAGTCATAAAAGGGCCATGGTTTCCCACCCTTGCCCTAGGGCAGAGTTAGGGAACCTTGGCTCTTTTATGACTTGTGGACTTCAATACCCAGAATTCCTGAACCAGCCATGCTGACTCAGGAATTCTGGGAGTTGAAGTCCACGAGTCATAAAAGAGCCAAGGTTGCCTACCCCTGATCTAGGGCCTAGGTAATTTATTCCTCAAGAAATTAAACCTGAACACGCATCACAGAATTTGAGTTGAAGTCCACGAGTCATAAAAGAGCCAAAGTTGCCTACCCCTGATCTAGGGCCTAGGTAATTTATTCCTCAAGAAATTAAACCTGAACACACATCACAGAATTTGTGCACATCCCTCCCGATTTCTTGTATGCCTATCAATTTTCCTTTCTTCTATTATCTTTCATAAAACAGACTATTTGGGGATTTTGGATTGTATTTTTGTTTGTATTCTGCCTTGTATTGTATTCTGCTTTTTATTGTATTTTGAAAGTGACATTGATACCGCTCTTTGAACAATTATCATATATTGATTATTTTAATCAATGTATTGATCACATTACTACCCTGGCTTTTTCCAAATCAATCAAATAGCACAGAGGCCTCATCTTTCCTCCTTCGTTGTGAATTAATTAACATCTAACAATGGGAGATCTCTTACAGCCATTTGTCTGACGGGTGTCAAACTCGATTGTATCACATGATGTATCGTGACTTTTTTGCCTTTGCAGAGCTGGGGTGGGCGTGGCCTGCATGTGATGCAACTGGCCCGCGGGCTGCCAGTTTGACAACCCTAGTGTAGGATTTCCTGCCCGAGCAAGGGGTTGGACTAGAGGACCTCCAAGGTCCCTTCCAACTCTGTCATTCTGTTATTCTTTGTCTGTGTCCTAAATTTTCATCCATTACAACAGGAGTCCCCAATCACCAGTCCGTGGACTGGCACCAGTCCATGCCAGAAACTGGGCCACACAAACGAGCAAAACCTCATCTTCAGGATGCAGGCAGTACAAGAAACCATGCCCCCTCCAATCTGCAGAAAAGACTCTTTCCACAGGTCCCTGATGCTCAAAATGTTGGGGGCTGCTGCATTACAACAACACACTAGCTCTTGACTGACTTTATAGAAGACAACTCTTACACAAAATACAGTATTTCATACTCTGTTTAGCTTTTCCATCTGTTTTAGGAAGACTTTAAACAAGAAAGGATTCTAATTATGATTAACAGCATCAAGTCCCACTATTCCCCATCATCCTATCTTACATTTACTGCTATTTATATCCCCTCAATGAAACATAGATTCTTTAAGATGCTTTCAAATTTGTAGTGATTAATTTCATTGAATTTATTTGTTTGACTACATCCCACTGAAGACAGGGTTGCTAGGGAAGGAGAAGAGGTTTCCCCTTTGTGCTATTAAGTTACCAGCTCTCATGCCCCAGAAATACATTTAGTTGTTCTTTGAAAAGAATTTTATGGAATGTTACTAACGATAAAAGACAAGGGGGTGCAGAAATAGATTAAAAATATTGTTGTTGTTGTTTTTTAAAAAACTTGAAGTAGATAACTCAGTGTATTGACACAGAGTGACAAGGAAAAAGAAATGTCAAGGAAGTGTAAATCTTTCACCAGCACAATTCAACATAAACCCAATCAACGAAACATTAAACCAGGGGTAGTCAACCTTGGCTCTTTTATGACTCGTGAACTTCAATTCCCAGAATTTCTGAGCCAGCCATGCTGGATTCTGGGAGTTGAAGTCCAGGAGTCATAAAAGAGCCAAGGTTGACTACCCCTGCATTAAACTATCCTTTTTGGCACCCAACATCACAATCTTCTTTGTATATAATGTCTTCAAGGCAAACAGAGTGATTTCACAGTAGTATCCATTGGTTTGCTTTGCCTACTAATTAGGAGGAAAATGTGGATTTTGAAGACCCTCTGATTAGTTTTGAGATTTTATCCAGCAGGCCTTTTTGCAGAAAGTTGATAAGTTTATCTTTTCTAAAAAAAAAAAAAAACTTAAAAATATACAACAGAAGTTGATACACAAAGTATCCTTCAGATCAGTGATTTGATACCATAGTCCAGTTTCTTTTCCTTTTATTCTCCTTTGCTGCTTATCAGTCATTGCTATAAAATCCTTCCTTCTGAAGCCACATCTTGAAATTTCAGCATGTTTACTTTTCTGAGAGTTATTATGACCTTATTTCATGTACCTTTCACTTGGATTTGCCACTTTGGTATCTGTTGACTTTGCTTTAATTTTTTTAAAAGCCACTTTGTTCTATATTTAACTTTAAATCAACTTTTCTTTTCTTTCTTTTATCATGGGTTGCTTAGGAGTAGGGACTTCAGTGGCAAAACTTTACACACAAGCTCTTAAATATACATGACACTTCCAATGACAAACATTTATTGCCAACCCTGGTTTATTCTTCCATGCCATTCAGTCGTTGCAAACTGTCCTTTTTAATATTTATATTTATGCTTATATTTCTCAACACTATCTTTTTTAAAAAAAAAAGAAGTTCAAAGGGATTACTGTTTTTAGGTGGCAAATAGTTGAAAAGAAATAACTCAATGTATATTTTTTCATGCTGGTGGATATTTTATAAAGAAAGTTTTATGCAGCTATTGAAAAGATTATTCATCAGTCTTATAGATGGACAGCTACATCTGAACCACATGCACATGCAGTTGAATTGCAAGTCTGAGCAATCCTAAGTCAACATGGAATTCTGGCCATTCATTGCTTAATTATTTATTTTATTAGATTTTGGCACCACCCAACTCCAGATTGTCGGAGTGGCTCTTAATATCAAACAAATAATAAGATAAAAAGACAATACTGTATAAACAAACAAGACAGCATCTGACTAATCAATGAATTACACATACAGAACTTTATAGTTTAGCACCACCTAGAACGGGGGTGGGGAAGGGTGGCCCTTTTATGATATGTGGATGTCAATTCTCAGAATTCCTCAGCCAGCTATGCTTAGGAAGTCCATAAGTCATAAAGGGGCTATCGTTCCCCATCTCTGACCCGGAAGGTCACAAATTCTAGTAGAAAATACAGGGCTGAAGATTTGTGCATAATCTGCTAGCAACTGCAAGATGACAACTTTAATCTCCACATTGAGGTATTGGTAGGTCATTCTTTCCTATGTCTATGATTTTAGCAATCTTCTCTTGATTTGGCAAATATACTCTCTAGGGCAGACATTCCAATTTAAAACTGTTGATTCAACCAATCACCACCTTTGTATAAACAAACTTGGGACTTGATCCCACCAGTTGGCCAGTGCAGTCCTTGAGACAGTGACGGGAAGATTCTGTCTATATTAACCATGTGATCACTTGTGTCAAGAAGAAATGACTCCAAGAAACCTCTAATAATAATAATAATAATAATAATAATAATAATAATAATAATAGTAATAGTAAAGTTGGAAGGGACCTTGGAGGTCATCTAGTCCAACCCCCTGCTCGGGCAGGACACCCTACACCATTTCGGACAAATGGCTGTCCAGTCTCTTCTTAAAAACTTCCAGTGTTGGAGCATTTACTGCTTCTGGAGGCAAGCTGTTCCACTGATTAATTGTTCTCACTGTCAGGAAGTTTCTCCTTAGTTCTAGGTTGCTTCTCTCCTTGATTAGTTTCCACCCGTTGCTTCTTGTCCTGCCTTCAGGTGCTTTGGAGAATAGCTTAATTCCCTCTTCTTTATGGCAGCCCCTGAGATATTGGAACACTGCTATCATGTCCCCCCTTGTCCTTCTCTTGAATATCCCTACCTCTAAAATTTTACACCTTGGTTAGAATCTGTTATAAAATCATATGTAGTCCCATGCAAGGAAAATTATTTTATAAATAAAATCTCAAGGAAAGCATGGTGCCTTCACTTACATATCTGCATTCTTGCATGAAGCCTTGTTCTATCTAAAGAGAGCATGTCAAAATAATTCCAATTGTCTTAATAATAAAACAAATTCAGCACATTAAAACCATCAACAATAGCATGGAATTTAAAATATTACCAACTCAATAAGGAACAGTTCAAATCTATATACCATCCTGAGTCTTACAAGCACTTAACATTAATGCAAATCCTAGTTGTGTGTTTGTAAGATGAAGGATTCAAATTTCTTTATTATATTTAATCCAAATTGGACCTAACCTTGTTTATTATAAATTGCAGAGACAAATGCAACTCCCCTTTCAGATTACTAGATCCTAACATCAATCAAGAAAAGCTTCCTTAAATTCCCTCCCCACTCCCTTGTCACTTGTGTTGATGGTTTAATGGTGCTCTTAAATCAGCTGAAGTTGTTTTCTTATTAATTACTAACCAAGAATTAAACACCTTTGCAGTCACTGGAAAGAGCTTGGAAGACCTATTGCAGGGGTCTTCAAACTTGGCCCTTTTATGACACATGGACTTCAACTCCCAGGCACGCTGGGTGAGGAATTCTGGGAGTTGAAGTCCATGAGTCATAAAAGGTCTGAGTTTGAAGACCCCTGCCCTATTGCAACCCACTTGTGGCCTTAAGGTAACTCAGCTGAAGCTCAGTGGAAAGGAAAGGCCAATACCTGGATCTTCTCTCAGTTCTTCTGAGTGCAGCTCCTCGCCAAGTGAGGTGGCCTTGGTGGTGGCTGATCTATGTTCCTGTTGCGTCTCTTCTGAGATGAATGCCTGGCATGGGGGGGATGAAGGGTCACTCAGCATTGTTCTGGTGGCACCATCAGCAGTGCATGTTTTCCCTTCAGAATCTAGGATACCATGACATTCTGACATTAGTTCAACCATTCATGATGGCTTAAGCTCATGTTCCCTACCATAATGTTGAATCAGAAGGGGGCCACCCTTGAGAGAAGAGTTTAAGGGGAAACACTCAGGGACTTCCTTTGGACCCATTAAAGATAAGATTTGTACTTCAGAGTTGCAACGAGGGGGCCCTTGGTACTCTCTGATCTTGGTGGTTTTCTTGCAGACATTTCATTACCCAAACTAGGTAACATCATCAGTGCTAGTAAGGAATATGGTTTGTTCTCAACTTATACTCTAGTGCAGAAGTGTCAAACTGCCGGCCTATATAGTGGATATGTACGTGAAAGTCACACCCACTTCAGCTCCAACAAGGGGAAAAAGTTGCGATACGTTGCAACATGTCACCTGAGGCTTTCTTTGTCAGTGGGAGTGGTCTTGAAGATTCTTTGGTTGGGTTGTTTACTGTTAGCTTGTTTTGTATTGTTAACTTGATGTTACCTAGTTTGGGTAATGAAACATCTGCAAAAAAAAAAAAACACCAACCAAGCTCAGAGAGCACCAAGGACCCTCTTTTCCTTGGGAGTTATCACTTGAGAGATAAACTAGCTCTTTCTGAAATAGACCATCACATAATCAGGCTCTATTTATTATGCTGGGAGGGAGGCCTTCCAAATGTGTGGAACAATCACTCTCATCATTTCTAGCAAAAATGCCCACACTTCACAAAGAAGGATGTTATTCTACTAGTATTTGCTCTGAATCCGGTTCTGTTTTAGGGAGTCGTGGCATGCAAAATTCAGTGGGAGAGGCTATTAAAAGAGAATGACAGAAGACAAACAACTCTCCAATATTTTATTATATGCTACTAATGTCACAAAGAATAAAACAAGTTTTGCTATCTACACAAGAGAAGAGGCACAAAAAAAAAACAGAAGCAAGATTTCAATTCCAGGAGCCCATCCGATAAACCCAAAGCACTACTAACCCAAACTATATGCTGCTTCAAGAAACCCACATGACAATCCCCCCTCAAGGGGACCAAAATTTTAAGCACTCTTTCTTCCCATTCAGACAAATTTCTGTCTTTATCTGACCCCTTTCCTATTCCCCAGTGGAATCCATCTTGATCAGAATGTATTGCTTTAACTTCCTTCTATGAGTACATGCTTGCCATTTTAAAGGAACTCTGCATTTTAGAGGCTGCAGTTGTGCTACAGAAAACAAATTATTTCCAGACCGTGACACTTAATTATCGCATGTGCTGGAGAGGGGTTGTGATTTCTCTTTGTGTGTTCTAGATGACACAGGGTTGCCTGATACACTGAGATTTGATAAGCATTGTGATTATTTTTGTAAATAATTACTTGTGTCTATCAGATATGTCCTTATCTTAAGTGTAAGAACTGCTTTGCCATCTATCTTCCTGGTAAATTTTAAAGAGGCAGTTCAAAAAGACCTAATCGTCTCAAGCATCTTTCATAGAAGAAGGGGATACATATTGCATAAGAATTGTCTAGGAAACCATAGTTTTAAAAATATTGTTAAAGAATTACATAAAGAACAGGAGTGGCTAAATTAGTTATTTTAATTCAACTCTTTTTTTAATTATTTGTAAGTTTTAATATTTATAGGTTTTTAGGTTCTGATTACTGGAGTAAAGATAACCATTCCCCTGTAAAATGTATCCTGAATCCATGGAAAATACTCTGTTTGTGTGTTTTACAAGTTTTATGTCAATGTTATTTGCATTAGTAAAGCATATACAATGATATGGATGAGTTAGTTGTTTGTTAAGAACGAACATCCTGTCAGCACCTGGGACAGCTCCCTATAACAGTTACTGTTCCTTCCTTCTTAGGCAACAATTACAGTGAAATTTGGCATTTCCACAAAGCAGCTGAAGCTAATATATGTGACACTAATAAGATTAACCTTTCTGTACAGAACCTTTCTGTAGAAACATCTGTATTCATGTATATAAACTAAGAACAAAAAAGACTTACTTCTGGCACTGTTAAAGTAGCATATAGGTGATACATTCATTTCTACAGTTATGTATGATACTTTTAAAAAAATGGAAGAAATAATAATCCACAAAGAATTTAGTATACTGATAGGTGGAATTATCACTGTGTTCATCCAGAATAAGCTTCCCAAATTTTCTTAACGTTATTCTTTTTGTGCATTTTAAATGTTAAATAATATTTCAAATGTTAAAGAAGAACAACAACTCCCATGAATCTTTTTTCAGAATCAATTAGAATTTTGCATGCTGCTCACAAATTTGTCACGTATCTTATTCTTATGCAGGTGCCTTTCTGGGAATCAATATTATACATTGATTGTAATGAGTATCTTAGGAGTGTTCCAATATTTGAGGGGCTGCCACAAAGATGGGAGGGGGCAAACTATTTTCCAAAACCCCAGAAGGCAGGACAAGAAACAATAGATGGAAAATAATCAAGGAGACAAGCAACTTAGAACTAAGGAGAAACTTCCTAATAGTGAGAACAATTAACAATTGTTAATTAACCAATGGAATGCCTCGCCTCCAGAAGTTGTGGGTGCTCCATCTCTGGAGGCTTTTAAGAGACTTGTCCTGAATGATATGGGGTCTCCTGCTCATGCAAGGAGCTAAATGAACTCCAAATTTCCTTCCAACTCTGTTTTTTTATGTCCTATGAGATAAATATTTACTGGGCTACAGAAAGCAAGTTCTTGGGGGTTGTTGATCCTTTTCTTATTTTGGACTAATCATATGTTTTTCTGAATGGACTTGGCACCTATTTCCTTTTCCTTTGACCTCTGTGATCAAAGCTTTAGCAAATTCAATTAGGAAATATAGGTCTCTAGTTAGATTTCTCCATCACAGACATCCCTGCTAAAAAGCGTTTACTCTAGCTGACCAGATTTTAAAAATATAAATAAACTACCAGCAAATCCAGCTCAATTTCTAACATCTATATGAGCATAAGATGTGATGGGAGGTTTTTTTTGGGCAGTCCTTGATGTAAGATTCCTTCACCCTTGTTATTATTTCAGCTAGAATTTCCAGAGAACTGAACATAAACATCGATTTCTCAACAGCAATTCCTTTAAATCAATTTAAAGGAATTGTTGTTCAGAAATCGATGTTTATGCCTTGGCATTTGGGGCCTCCAAATTCACCTCAGAATGCTGCTGGCTATATAAGGACCATCTGAGGAAGTCTGGCTTGCTTGCCGCGCAGTTCCCCAGTGGACAATTTTTAGAGGCTGAATTCGCCCACGCTACCTCATAGTCACGTTCAGTGAAAAGTTACTGTTCTTAAAATAGGTTTTGCAGCACCACGGTTGCTATGATACCATGGGAAGGGGGAGGGGAGGAGTTGGAAAGCCAACCCATGAATAATCGTGGGCATATTACCAGCCTCTCACATTGTGCAGTGGTTCTATCTTCTTCTCTCTCTTTTTCCTCTGCTCTATTCAATGCAGGCATTTGATGAAACCTCCACTTGAAGAGCTGAAACCAACCCCTATGGGGGGAAAATTCCACCTGCTTTACGGAGGGAAGCTGCATCTGTAAAATGCTGCTGCATGGGCTTAAGAGAGTAACGGCTGAGGTCTTGATGGAGAAAAGTTGCTGATGTACAGTATTTTGCAGCCAAAGAGTTGTCCCTCGGTTCTAGCCATGCCCAGGTGGAACTGGGAATAATTTTGGTTAAAAGACTCAGGAATGCCAGTTATTGAATTAGATGGCTGGATAATCTGATGCCATTTAAATTCAATCCCCCAGTCCAAAAAAGGTGGTAATTTTTAAAAAAGTAAAAAGTGAAGGGCTGTGCATGCTTTGAGAAGGATTCAGAAGAAGTGTTCTGATATTTTCAGCTTTCTCTACAAGCTGGAAAAAAACGATGCAGCTGCTTTTAGAGGCAGGCTAAAAGGTAATCCGTTGGCCCTTCAAAGAAACTGCATCCTTTCCTCAGATATAAATGGAAGTATTTCTTTTTTAGACAATCACTATCTCTCAGCATGATCAACTTCACAGGGTGGTTGTTTGGGGTAAATATGAGAGAAGGAATACTAGGCATGCTATCTTCCACTCATGAAAGAAACAAACAGGATATCAATGTAACAATAAACAAATATTAAAGAGGGGGTGAGAGAGAGAGAGAGAGAGAAGGATCAGGGTGTTGAGTCAGAAATATCAAAATGGTAGCCACAACAATGCAATCAACCTGTCAGAAGCACAAAAAATAAGTGAAGTGTTAATTGCACTGTCTTGACCACCATCTTGACTTTTTTGACTCCCCCCACCCCGAGTCCAGAATTTTAGAAAGTTTAAGGGGAAAATCCAGAATTTTGGAAAGTTTAAAGGAAAAATCAAGAAATTTGGAAAGTTTAAGGGGAAAATCAAGAATTTTGGAAAGCTTAAGGGAAAAATCCAGAATTTTGGAAAGCTTAAGGGGAAAATTTATAGTGAGTTGATTGGCGAAATGTCTTTGAATTATTTGAAATGCTTTTTTTCAGATTTCTTCCCATCTGGGCTGAATGAGATAAACTGCCAGTGGGCCCACTTTCTACCTCTTCAATATTTGTGTCTGTCTTCCTTCCATTCCTTTTCAAGCCTCCATACAATTTTTCTCATCTCAGTGGAATTTTGTTTTGACTACTTTATAACTGTTCTGTTCCAAATAAATCAGGCCAGTAGCTCTCTTCCTTATTCCAGATGGTGGAGTGTTTTTTCCCCTAACACTCAATCAAAGTTTCCCTTTCAGAACACAAGAATCTGAGCAGTGCCCTGCTGCATCAGATCCATGACCCATATAGACCAGCAGTCTCTTCTCTCAATGACCAACCAACTGCCCAAGGAAGTCTATTAGTCTTGCAGCAGGAGACTAAGTCTTCAGAAGCAGTCACACTATCATGAAGGCTAATAGACATTGAGCCCCATGATCTTCATAAATTGATCCAACCCTTTTTTTGAAGACAACCAAGATGGTACCCAGCACAACATCTTGTGAAAGCAAATTCCAAAGTTAAAAATTCCTTTCTGTAACTAAAGTCCATATTTCATGCTCTGCACTCTGGAATATTAAAGAAGAGTTCTTGGTCATTTTCTGCACAACATCCTTCAAGTATTTCAAAAATACTAACATATGTTCCACTCAGCTATCTTTTCTCAAGACTAAAGATACCTAGTTCCCTCAAACATTCCTTGTAATAGTTTCATATGACCAATTCTCTTGTGAATTTGATGTCTTTCTCTTCTTTGTCTCTGCTAAACCATACTTCTCTTCCCAAAGCGCCACCACTTGAGAAAATCTGTTGAAGGATATGGAGATTGGAATCTGCCCCATCCTATATTTGAGTATTATCATCTTTTTTAGGATTCATTAAATAGCTAAGATGTTACAAAATACAAGGAACACACTATGGCCCTTTAAGCATTGGTTGAGTAACCCTGAAATTGTTTAAAAGGCAGATTTAAATTTAGAATTCACTGACTCTTCTTTGGAGCTACATTCTTCAAAACACACTCAACATCAAGATACATGCATTACAATATCCAAATTATGTATCAGTGATGCTCATTCTCTACTTAATATATGGTCAGTGCAAAGGCAAGGCATTGATATTTAAAGCTGATGGGTCAATAGCTCCTATGATCCACTGATTACAACAATACCCTCATTCGAATTGGGATCCAACTGGAAGTTTGGGAGAAGGGGGATGGAGGGAGACCTACTTCTTTAGATAATTGCATAAATCAATGTGATATGACAGAATCTCAAGGGGCTTCAAGATTTAATGCACTCTGCTTGGCATAATATTGCAGATCTGAAAGACACCAATTATTGCATTAAAGTAGAATTTAATTGTGAAAGGCTAGGATGTAATTGCTGCCTATCTTGCTTTAATCAGAACAGGTCTATGAATAGTTATTAAAAGAGACACTATAGGTGAATTTTAATAAGGGACCTAACATCACTAAAATTGTAAAATAAACCCTTGAGACCCCAGACATCTCTTGTAAAGGACTGACATGGCTATATAAGTCTGCTCTTGGCAAACCATTATTTGCCCTCTCCTGCCTATATGACATAGGAAATAGAAGATTCCAGTATGACAACCACAATAGTCTCTGGCAGTGATAACAACAACAAGAAGACCTATCATACCTTAGGTCACACTGTATTTATTGTTTTGTACTAGATGCTTGTTGTTTTGGAGAAATCCCAATTCTTAGAGATTCTGACATTACTATTAAAGACAAGGACCTCTGGGAAAATACATTTCCTGGGGATCTAATATATTGCCCAAGCAATATCCCAGATCCTTAAAGCAGCTATCCAAAAAAGCCGTTCTAAAATCAAATCTTAACTTGATCCTGAGTTGCTGAAATGAATGAACCAATGCATAAACATCTGGTTTAGTTTGGTAGCCCGAAACAAGGTATTTGATACCTAAAAAACAGGTCCTCAACTTACAACAGTTCATTTAATGACCGAAGTTACAACAGCACTGAAAAAAGTGTTTTATGACCATTTTTCACACTTACGACCTTTGCAGCATCCCTGTGGTCACATGATCAAAATGCAGACACTTGGCAACCAGTTCATATTTATGACAGTTGCAGTATCCTGGGGGCCACGTGATCCCCTATTTGTGACCTTCTGACAAGCAAAGTCAATGGGGAAGCCAGATTCATTTAACAACCGTTTTACTAACTTAATAATTGCACTGATTCACTTAACAACTGTGGCAAGAAAAGTCATAAACTGGGACAAAACTCACCTAACAAATGTCTCGCTTAGCAAAGAAATTTTGGGCTCAATTGTGGTCATTAGTTGAGGACTACCTGTATTCTTGGACAGCTTTATAGAAATGCATCTCAAGTTTTCACACAGCATAAACCTCCTAGGAACCACGCAGGGATGTAACTCAAGGCAAGACATCTTGCCATCCTGAGCATCTTCAAAGAAGGACTGTTTGGAAGACTCATCATCCCTCTGGATCCAATTATTGTGTAGTCAACATGGGACAATATTTTTCACTGCAATGTCAGCCAAAAATATCAATTGATGTTAATAATCTCTGGCCTCATTCCTAGAGTCATTTATCCCATTCCTTTATGGCCATGCATCCTTTTTCTTTTTTAGCTTTATCATCACACAAATGCAATAACAACCACAGAACTAAAAGACACAAAATAGCATAAATTGATAGATGTGCTGAGTAGCCACCAGCCTTGCGCAGAAGTCAGATGGAAACAGGGGTTCATCCACATAACCTATGACCATAATGACAACAGGAAAATTGGTGGTGGAGGGGAAGACACAAAAGTAGGGAATTGCCAAGGGCATGAAGATGGTGATGGGACTAGAGTTTTCTCCCCTGAGCCATCCCACTCAAATTTTTATCATGGACCCAGAGACAGTCTAATCTGAAACAACAAAAAAAAAATTCTACTAGGCCCAACTAAGCTTCCTTCAAGAAAATATTTGTTAATATTCTGCTTTTTATCCTTCATTATGAGGTGATAGAATTTTAGAAATGTCCAGTTACAGTACAGCACAACCAGTGATTTCAAGAAAGAGGTACCCCTTTTTAAACTATTCGCATATTGTATCTACATTCAAAGCACTAATAAAGACTGTCCAAGTGATTCTAACATCATTTGTCAGGTTTATACCATGCACATGTATTTGATATTCTTTCAAAGTGGAGTTTTATTATCATATATGACCAGGAGGTGAATCTGGAATATATCTCCCAGGTTCTAAAGGTGTTTGAGGTTTACAAAATTAAGGGGCCTTTCTGTAGGAAAAAAATAATAATCAAGGGTTGATAGCCATGTTTGAAGAAAAAAGATTTACAGGAGAGAATTAAAAAATCCAGAACATAGAAGGCTGAAGAGAGGCAGAACTGCAAGGGAAGTGAATCCTTGGGGTGTGAGTTGACAAAGCAAGGGAACATTATGCAAGGCACCATGGCAGAGTGCACAAAGATTGGAGTGTAGAATAATGAGGCTCCAAACCTTATCCCAACAGAGTGAAATCATGTCCTTTAATTCCTAATGTCAGCTTGAGGTGGTTTGGAATCCATAGCTTGTTTTACTCAACTCAATATTGGCTTCCCAAAACTCTCCTAGCAAAAGATTGCAAGCATTGTGATTATATCAAATCTAGAGAGTCCCAGTTTGAAGAAGGCTCTGTTAACAGGAAAAAGAAAGAGAGAGAAGCAAGGGGGGAGGATAAACTGGACACCTTTACACCTTCATTATGAACATAAAAAAGGGCAATAATTTAAGATGACAAGCAGAAGCCACTAATTTTAATACTGTTCGTGATAAGCAAGTGATATGTAGTCATTATGATTGCATAGAACTTTATCCTCTTCTCCATAAAATTTGTCAATTACATTTTTAATGTTAATGGAGTTGGCAGCTACCACTGCATTTTCTGAACCTGAATTCTCTAGTTTCATTATGCACTGCACTTCCTTTCAATCATCCTCAATTTCCCCCTGTGTAGTCTTGCATGATAATGACAAGAGAGAAATGATTCTCTTTCCTCTCCCCAAAGCATGCAAAATATTATTCATATCCATCTCTTCCTAGTTCACTCCACCTTTTCCCTTAATTTATGGGACTACAGCCATGTGTCTGAACCCTTAGGCAGAATAGGGCAACGTAGCAGATCCTGGAGAGTGCAAGTGAGATGAAAAGTATGTATGAGTATCACAGCTAAGACCCTATTCTGAAAGACAACAGAATCAGAGAATTCTGAAATGTTCATTGTACTTATTTATTAAATTTATATGCTATTGAAGCAATTCTGGGCGGCTTCATAGAATTCTATGAACCATAGAACTGGGGCAAGTAACCCATTAAGGTTAGCCTTCTGTTTAGTGCAGGAAATGAAATAAAATTCATCTGCAGCGTGACCAACAACTGTATAATGGAATTTTAGTGAGTGCCATTTCTCTTCCTTTGCTTCAGGCAACATACTATATTGAATCAGCTCCGCATTCCTGCTGCCCTTTTCTGGACCTTCTCTATATGTGCTAAGCCATCCAGCATCATTATTTAACAGCAAAGTCATCTCTAGGTTCTTGGAGGAAGGAGGGGATACAATACCACAAAGATCACTTTCACTTGCCTTGTTCCATAATTTCCAGGAGGCCTTTCTTAATTAGCTCGTCCCGGCCTTGCCTTGTGGATGTCTTCTTCTCTAACACTGCAAAAAGGGGGGTGAGTATGATCAACATGGAACATCAGAGTTGACAGTCAATGGAAATGAATAGTCTAAGAAGACTGCATGAATGAATGAAGGATGTCTGGCTTGAAATATGGCATAATAAATGGAAGACCACCAGTAATAGTAATTTTTTCCTCTGTTTTATGCAAACTGCACCAATGATTCCTAATTTTTGTATTCCATTCTTCATCAAGTAGTTCAGGGAACTATTTCAATGATTTAGAGCTAGCAGTCGTTCTTAAACCAGCATCTTTTAGACAAGTTGGATAAAACCAGCAAGTCAACATTAGCAGAAGGTAGTGAAAATTACATTGAAGCAAGTCAGGTCAGGACAATCTGATTTAGGATACAAATCCAATTTTTCCAAGTTGACTTTAAACACTACACCAAACTGGTTATATATTTTGCTTTCTGTAATCAAATTGAACCCATGCCTTTCTCCTAATCCTCTATGGGGACTAAATCATATCTCTAAGGCTTTCACATCTCATTATCACACTCAAGGAGATGACCTAAAGCAAGGTTGCATTTTTTTTTTCTGGGCCAGGATTGGTCTATGCTGGGAATAGGCTAGGACCCTGGTATACTAGGCCAAAATTAGGAATAGAACTAGGACAAAAATTAAATTTGATTTCATTTACATTAAAATATAATTAAAATGAAATATAGTTACTGCAATTATTCCTTAGTCATGGACTTAACTGTTTTCTCCTTTTCTCACATTATTAATTACAACTTGCTAACAGATTTCATTTATTTAGATCCTACCTTTATTATTTTTACAAATAACTCAAGACACAAACATATCCAACACACCTTTCTCCTCCTATTTTCCCCACAACAACAACCCTGTGAGATGGGCTGACAGAGAATAACTGGCCCAAGGTCACCCAGAGGGCTTCCATGGCTAAGGTGGGACTTGAACTCATAGTTTCTCGATTTCTAGCCTGGTGCCTTAATCATTAGACCAAACCAAATCAAACTAGACTAAACCTTAACCACTAGACCACTTTTGAATTGGTATGCTCTAAGGGCCATACCAAAAATTTTACGGAATCAACAGATGCTCAAGTTGTCTATCTGTGTTCAGTGCCAGGTCAAGTGTTCATGCAAGACTATCTTGATTGACAGTATCACCTCCCACCAATGTAAAGATTGGCAGTTTTAGAATGATTCAGAAGGAGAGGCAGCATTGGTACCCCAGGCCAATAGCTACTTACCTTAGCCCAAAGCTGGCCCTTTCTGTGTCATCATGGGAAATGCTTGGTTTATAGCTCAGCTAAAATAATTAATATACCACTTATTGCCTACCCATCACTAAAAACTATTCCAACTGGTTAAAACCCCACTTGGAGGGCACTGGTTTTCCCACCTTCTGTCACAGCTTTTAGCTGGACCAAGAGATAATAGGATGACTCCAATTTCAAATAATGTATAGTGAACATACAGTAAGCATAAGATCATATCATAGCACTGTGCAATTTCTAAAATGCAGAATGTCCCACAGTTGTCTCCATGGGTTGAAGCACAACTATTGCTCAGTGGTGCTGTCAGTGCCAGAAAAACACACATGTGGGGACTATGATGTTTAGGAGAACCCAATAGATTTTTAAGAGCTCATTGGTAGCATTTTGAGATAGGAGGTGATAGCTTCCTTCCAATAAAAGAGGAAGGATGATGAAAGAGGTATAAAGCTGGAGGGAACCAACAGGTCTTGCTGGGAGATGTTTAGACTAAACTGCAAGCAGGAAATCTCAGTTTGGTTTATAGTTTGCCAGAGCCACAAAATAAAGCACTGATGGGCCCTAAGTTCTCTATAGGAACACGGATGTTTTACTTTGCTGGCCCAGGTGAAGCTGTTCATAGTTAGATAGGTCTATTGGCAGCTCTCTGGAAAAGGGATCACAAGAAGCAAGAATATTTTGGACGAGAGCGAGTTAGACTACGTGTGATTCTTCCTCATTAATATCATCACAAATATAAAAGCATAAACTACAAACCATTATGACAGGGTCACCCCGGAGAGAAGAGAGAAATCTAGATGGATGATGATGATGATGATATGATGAAGATGATGATGGAAACACAAAGATAAATATAATAGATAGATGATAAACAGATGATAGATGATGAGAGAGAGAGAGAGAGATGATTGATAAGAGATAGATAGATAGATAGATAGATAGATAGATAGATAGATAGATAGATATACAGACAGAGACAGAGACAGAGATAGACATGGAGAGAAATAGAGGTAGGCAGATGGAAATGAAGATGAAAAGTTAAAGAGAAGGAAAAAAGATATGGAGGAGGAGAAGGAGGAGGGAGAAGGAGATGGAGTTGGACAGAGTAGAGAGATCAAATCAAATCTGACATTTTTAGCTTTGTTTGAAATCATCTAAGTTGAACTAGATATTGCCACATTGTCCTTTGTCAGCCTAAAAATAACATTTTGGTGAAAATGGTTGATGTGGAGACATATCCAAGACTTTTCTGAAGCTTCAGGCTGTGTATCACTGTTTTAAATGCTGTCAAATCTAATAGAGTATTTTTTTTCCTGAACTATAATACGTTAGCCTTTTTAAAAAAATTGTCATAAGGTTTCTTCTTTTTCCTGTTTAGGTTTTTTGCTAGTTATTGTGGACTGTCTCCAAATTTTTATTTTCTTTGATTTATCATAAACCCTGAATGTGGCCCCTCAAAGCCATTTATCCTAAGTATTTTATCTATATCTCTACTGAAATCTCCTGCTTTGCCCGCAAATTAGCACTCTTGGCAGCCATACTACAGGTAATCCTCATTTAATGACCAGTTGCTTAGCAACTGTTTGAAGTTGTGACAGACCCCCCCCCCAAATGTATTTATTTCAAAGTTCCACATACCCCCTCCCCCACAATGCCTTGATTGCATTTTGTGTGCTTGGCAATCAGCTTGCGTTTACAGCTGTTTGCAGCATCCCACAATCACGTGACGACAATTTTTGACACTTTTTACCACTTGCTGGATTTACTCCCAGTTTCTGAGGGGGAAAAAAACATCCAGTGGGTATAATGAATTCATTTGACTGTGGCATTTGCTTAACAATGGCAGCAGTTGCTTAATGATCACCACATAAGGTCATAAAATTGGGCTTGGTCACATGGCGATCCACTTAATGACTGCCATAACTTACAACAATAAATCTGGGCTCAGTTTTGGTGGTAAGTCAAGGACTACCTGTACCAATTTCTTAAATGGAGGGGGTGTTTCTGACATCTAGAAGGAAAAATTTCCTTGGATAATAAAGTCAATGTGTACAGAGAGAGGGAACGCAACAATCCCCAGGTACCAGTGTGCCTGCAGACCTATCTCTGTCGCCAGCCTCTTTGATTTCTTTTATTTCCGAGTCAATTTTGACTTCTGGCAACTACATGAACAAGTCTGGGTGATTTTCTTAGTAATTTCTTTGGAAGTGCTTGCCATGGCCACCTTCTTCCTTTGAGGAGAGAAGCTGACTGGCCCAACGTCACTCAGTTTTCTTCACGCCTCAGACAGGACTAGAACTCATAGAAACTCTTTGTTTCTAACTTGTTCCTTTGACCACTCCTCCAACTTGGCTTTCTCCTATTTAATTACCTGCTTGCTTTACTGTATTTATATGTCACCTGATAGAATCTCTCTATTGTCTGTAGTTAATTTTTAAAAATAGGAGGCTGGTAGGCTGTGGAGTAAAGCACCAGCTTTTAGCACCAGCTTTCTCAGCAATGCCCCGTGTAGGCTTCAGACATTCTTCCAAAATAAAACACAAACACATGTCACCCAATCTTGTTTGGAGAGGGGCGTATCTGCTGAGAAAGAGAAAGAGAAAGAAAAAGAGAAAGAAAAAGAGAAAGAAAGAAAAGCATGCTGGGATAAAAAGGAATCATCCAGAAATGGACATGGGAATCTGCATTCTTCTAAATGAATATTCTGCACCTCCTTACATCCATGATGTCAGTCATTTGTGAACAGGTGAACCTCCTCTGATGATGTCCATGTTGGGAAAGTGTCCATGAGATGTTCATGATATTCCAACCAAATGTCTATGGAGAGTCTCAGTCATCCAAGTCATAGTCATTCCAAAGATGCTTTTTCAAGAGGCAACTGGATTTCCTTGTTTATCTTTGAAGACTTTCACTTCTCATCCAAGAAGCTTCTTCAGCTCTGACTATATGATGGGGAATGGCAGGCTTTATACTCCTTGCAGACAGCTGGTCATTTGCATTCTTTTAGCAAGTCATTAATGCTACTTGGAGGCTTATCTGTCCCCTCAGGGTCACCTGAGTAGTGCAAATGGGTGTGGAGCCTTCTTGGAACTGTTCAAAGGACTGTGTTGTAGACTGGAAACAGATGATGTCATAAACCTCCAGGTGGCCTCAATGACTCTCTACTGAGCCGAGGTGGCACAGCAGTTAGAGTGCAGTACTGCAGGCCACTTTAGCTGACTGTGTTCAGCAGGTCAGCGGTTCAAATCTCACCGGCTCAAGGTTGACTCAGTTGGGGGCAATGTATATATATATATATATATATATATATATATATATATATATATATATATACACACACACACACACACACACACATTACTTACTGGTGTACACTGCTTAGAGAGTGCTTGCACTTAAAGCGGTATATAAGTCTCATAAATAAATAAATAAATAAATAAATAAAAGAATGCAAATGGCCAGCTGTCTGCAAGAAATACAAATCCTGCCATTCCCCACCACCCAGTCAGAGCTAAAGAAGCTTCTTGGATGAGAAGCAAAATGTCTTTAAAGAAAAACAAGGAAGTCCAGTTGCTTCATGAAAAAGCATCTTTGGGATATTCCAACCAGTTCAATGGCTCCAAAATATTGTCTGATCAGCTTAGGTTTCTTGTTTTAAAAGCAAATTGTGGATTGCAGATCTTTCAGAAACTCAAAGAACTGCTGATAATTGGAGTCAATAATGTTGCACAACTTAGTTTATCATACAGTAATATAAGGCAATTCCCAACAACATACTTTTGCTGAATGTTGCAGAATTTTGAAGAAATGTAGCAAATAAAGCTATATTAAGATGCGGCCTTCAAATCCTTCACTGTCTTGGCTACTCCAGACCTTTGGTGTGTTCACAGAGAATGGAGGCCTAAAGTAAGGCAAGATCATGAAAGATCAGTGGTGCAAGATCTCATGCTGCTGATCTCACAGTACTTTAAGATTCTGTTCTCTGGAATAGAGTACAGAACTGAAGCCGGGGGAGGCTTTCGCGTGCGTCCAGAGGCTGATCCAGACATCAGAGGCCTTTTCCAGGCCACTGCCATCTGAAGAAATGTAGCAAATAAAGCTATATTAAGGTGCGGCCTTAAAATGTTTAGTTTGCTAAAGGTCAGTCTATCAGGCTATCATATCAGGTACAGAGACAGTAAAACAGTTATCAACCTTTATAATATAAGCTGTGAATCTTTACAAAATTAAGGTTGAAGAATTTTATCAATGAAGTTGAACATGGCTGAAGGCTACATTGTGAAATTAATTCCCAAAGTAATTAGAGGATATTTATTTTAAACTCATTTCTTCATTCGTTTTGAACCAGAGGAGGCCATCTAACAGATTGAAAACCAACCAGAACCATTGAACTTATTCTGTACCTATACATTACTCTTATTTTGTACTGAAGGGGTGGAACTTTAACATACAAGCTGAGTACAGGTGATCCCTGAGTTGTGAGCGCTTCCATAACGAACGTTCAAAGTTATGCAATAAACACCCCCCGGTGTTTACAAAAAGTCCCAAAATTACAAATGTTGTTGCACCACAGAGGTCATTCACTCTTACGAATGACCACAGTGGCATTGCAACATTCACCCTGGCTATTCCCTCCCTCCCTCCACCACCCCGGGTCTCCCTAAGCACTAGGGAGGTCTGCAGTAGCCAAGACAGTGAAGGATTTTGATCTTTGCGTGATGAGTATGTTTTAAAAATAAACTGTGGATTGCAGATCTTTCAGAAGAACTGGATTGCAGATGTTTCAAAGAACTGCTGATAATTGGAGTCAATAATGTGGCACAACTTAGTTTATTGTAATATACAGTAAGACAATTCCCAACAACATACTTTTGCTGAATGTTGCAGAATTTTGAAGAAATGTAGCAAATAAAGCTATATTAAGATGCGGCCTTAAAATCCTTCACTGTCTTGGCTACTCCAGACCTTCGGTGTGTTCACAGAGAATGGAGGCATAAAAGTAAGGCAAGATCATGAAAGATCAGTGGTGCAAGATCTCATGCTGCTGATATCACAGTACTTTAAGATTCTGTTCTCTGGAATAGAGTACAGAACTGAAGCCGGGGGAGGCTTTGGCGTGCGTCCAGAGGCTGATCCAGACATCAGAGGCCTTTTCCAGGTCACTGCCATCTGGAAAAGAGGCTGGGGGATGCTGGGCATTGGTGGCCTTTTCTGGGCTGCTGCTGCCTGGAAAGGAGGCTGGGGGACACTTCCGCGAGCCTCGAGAAGTCTGTTCTTGGCCTTGGAGGCCTCCTCCAGGCCTCCAAGGCCCAGAATGGAGGCCATGAGTGGCGGCTTCGTGCTTCTGGAGGTCCATTCTGGGCCTCGGAGGCCTCCCTCTGCTCTTGTCAGGAGCAGAGAAAGAAAAGTGAGGCTGGAGAGGAGACATATCTTCACAAGGTAAGTGACCCGGCACGGCAGGATTGGGCAGGGAAACAATTGTGGGACCCTGGAAGAAGGAGCATGAAGCATCTCATTGAGGGCTTGGGTGGTCTGAAGCAGATGGCCTGTTCCCTTACGAGGCCCTTCATGGCCTTCCCCACCCTGAATTACCTCATGTTCAGTTAACGAGCCACACATTCACCCACACATTAAATTAGTTAATATGTGGGTGAAAGCTGAGAGTGAATCACGTTCAACGTAGGAGATTCACTCCTACGAATCCTCAAGTTATGAATGGGATTGATTACATTCATAACTCAAGGACTACCTATATGCCACTAGTTAGCATTTGGCAATCCCTTGTCACAAAGAAAAAAGCAAACACTGTAGTCGCATTTGAAATCAACAGGGATGGCAAGAAAAAATAATAATAGAAAGGTGAGATTTCCTAATTAATACGTAGAGGCACGTGACTAACCAGCTCCTTGGTAGTTCTGTGTTGAACTTTAAAATAAATTATATATGAGGAAAACATGGATTCTAATGTCTGTCTGTCTGTCTGTCTGTCTGTCTCTCTCTCTCTCTCTCTCTCTCTGTCTCTTTCTCTCTATCTATCTATCAATCGTGTGTGTGTGTGTGTGTGTGTGTGTGTGTGTGTGTGTGTTCATATGTAAACACACAGGCTTTTTTCCTCTTTCAATTATCAAGGGAATTGGTTAGGAACTAGACTAGACTCTTTACAATCCTGAGTTTCTGAAATGTTTGTTCAACTGCACTTCTGGAATTGTATCAAATACTTCCCACATAGTTTCCATTAAGACACTGGCCTTTGAAATTTGCTTCTTAAAGAATAAAAGCCAAAATTCTCAGGACAGCTGTATTTGGAAACCTAGAGAATCTGCTCTATTTTCTCCACGTTTGAAAACAATGTATGTATGGTCCTGGCACTTTTTCAGATACACAGCAGTCTGCGTCCCAGCCATCCAAGTCCTGCCATTACTTTGCTGTGCCAAACAGGTGATGCCTGCCACTTACCTGTAGACGATTGCTTCAGTTTCTCATTCTTCTTTTTCCTCCACTTCCATGGTTTGAAAATCCTGCCCAACGTGGCTAGTTTGCTATTCCTTCGGACAGGAGGAGTTCGGATCCCTGAGACCAGATATTCAGAACGCACTGCGGGGGATTGATCCATTTCCTCTGAAAAGGGAGTGAGAGAGAACAGTTTTAGTAGTTGAGGAAAGAATAACATCTTGAAGAGATTAAAGTACTGGTAAGGCTTGAAGTTGTGATGGATCGGTGGGTGTCTGGGTTTTTTGTTGTTTTGCAGAGAAATAATGCTTAATTGGGTTCCTATGTTGGAACACACAAAGGAAAAGAAAAGAAAAGCTGGAGTTAACTCCCAATTCTGTTTAACAAGTAAAAATAGCTCATTTGACATTAATGGGAACATTTATTTTCCCCAGTCAATAGCAGACATACTCTGCAATCTATCTCTAGTTGAAGTTCCTCTTTCTCTACTAAAGTCCCAGTTGGTCCCCAGTGCTCACCAGATATGAAAAACCAACCCTACTTTCCAGGAAAAACCACATGATGTGGAAGCATGAAAGGGGTTTGACCCTTTCTCGGGCTTGATCCCTAGCATAACAGAGTTCTATTTCAACATTTTATCTGTCTGTCAAGTTTGGAAAGATGCCCAAATCCATAAAAACTCTGGGCAGGATAGAACATTAAATAAGGAAAAGAACAATGTACTGTACATCTACAAGAGAAACATTTAAACTAACATAAAATCTTATAAAGGGCTTGAGTAGGGAGTAAGGAAGATGACCTTGACAGAAATGTACAGAAACTGTTGCCTAGGCAAAAGGAGATGAAGGACTTTTAAAGTGCAGAACAAAATAACATTTGGAAAGGGTTCAGGCAGATACATCCCTAATTTACTGAAGTATATGGAGAAGGACAAAAAACAGTCAACCAAACTTGCAATGTTCTATCATTATAGCCAATCTCAATAAAAGTAGTTTTAGCCATCCTGCAGAATTGATTTTATGCTCTGCCCTATCTAATGGGGTTGGCAGCTCACCACCCATCCTAAACCCAAAGGCCTGGAGAAACAGCCGTGTTATAATGCTGTCAGAGTAGGGGCACTTATAGATCCCTGGAGGAATCCTGTTCCAGAGAGCAGATGTTGGGACCCAAAAAGATATACTTCCCAAGTTCAGATAGTGATATTGCTTGATGGGGCCCATAATATGCCCAATCTGTCCAATTACATAGGATGAGCAGAAACCTTTGGAGGGATAATCCTCAGGTAATCAGACTCCATGCCACAATAGCTTTATGAGTGATAACCAGCAACTTAGATCACATTTAGAAGCTAACTGGCAACCAAGGAACAATGATGTCACATGGGCATATTCAGACATGCCCATTATTGTCTACAGTTGCGGTCTGGGCTGTTGTAGCTTCTAAATCAGGAGTCTCCAACCTTAGCAGCTTTATGACTTGCTGACTGAGGAATTCTGGGTATTGCAATCCACAAGTCATAAAGTTGCCAAGGTGGGAAACCCCTGTTCTAAGTGACCTTCAAGGGCATCTCCATATAGAGTTCATTGTAGTAGCCCAAACATAAGGTGATTACCCCATGCATGACGTTCTGAACCAATGTTCAGTGAATGGCACTGGAAAGGAATGAGCATTTTCAGTCACTTTCTCTCAAAAGGATGAAAAGAAATTTTCCAACAAGAAAATTCTGGGGGAATGTTGTTAAAGAGAGGCAACATATACCGATTGGTTGATTGATTTGATTTATTTAATTTATATAGTCATTTATCTCACATACCATATTTTCCGGCATATAGGATGACTCGGCGTATAAGACGACCCCCGACTTTGGCGCCAATTTGCATGCTTTAGAAAATCGTCTTATACGCCGGAAAATACGGTATGTAACTCTAGGCAGCTTATAGTAAAAACTAGAAAAACTACATGAAATACACACAATACAAAAAACTAAAAACATAGCAGATGAGCATCGTATCAGGCATAAAACCTAACTTTACCATAATTAAAACATAGACAAGGATATGTGCCTACGTGTGCATCCTTCCTGTTATAGTATATCTTGTGGGCTTCCAAACTTTAATAAAATCCCAGCACTTGTCATCAGAAGAAAATTATAATTTCTGACTTTTGGGGGGGGGGTCTTTTCTCTTTATGTGCTTTCTTGTTGTATTTTTTTTTTCATTCTCTTTGGTGATTGATCATTTTTACCGTATGCATGTTTGTTTGAAAATGGATTAATAAAACAGTGCATCATGGAAAAAAAGAGAAAGCTTTTTTCTTGAGGATTTTTTTCCAGATTTTTCTTTTTTTAAAAAAAAAAAAAGCAGAAAGGTTGCAATGGGATAGAGATGCAGAACAGGAAAAACAAAAACAGAACTGCATCTTGTGCAATTTAGCAAGAGCAAAAGGAAAGGAAAAATACTAAAACATTTCAAACCAATCCAAAGACTCTCAGATGTAATGAGGTAGAAAAACAGAAGCCACTTTTGTAAGGGTTTTACAGAGGGTAGATTCAGCCCAATATTAGCATAATCACCATGCTATTTTTAGCTAAATTTCATACAAGGCCAGACATGCTATTAAGATAGAAGATGTCTAAAAATGTGCAAGGACACACAAGTCCAAATGCAACATCTCCTTACAAATAAACTGTTACAGTTTTAGATGAACAAAACCTCCACCCAACAGCTACAGTCCTTTCAAAATTATCCTTGCTCTGTGGGTCAAAAGTGATTTTTTAAAAAAAAAAAAAAAAAAGCATATTTATAGTCAAGCAAGAAAAAGTTATAGTTGTGACTAGGGATGTACAAAACCTTCTCTACAGAGTCCCAAAGGTGCTTTTTTAAGAGGCAACTAGACTTTCTTTGTTTTTCCTTGAAGATGTTTTGCTTCTCATCCAAGAAGCTTCTTCAGTTTTGCAGTTCAGTTCACTTCTCATCTGCAGAAGCTTCTTGGATGAGAAGCAAAACGTCTTCAAGGAAAAACAAAAAGTTTTTGTTTTACACGGGAGAAAACCTGAATAACCAAAGACCTACATACAAACACACCTTTTTAAATACACCAGAGTACCTTGCAGATGGATGGATGCATGGATGGGGAAAAAAATCTCTACAATTTCTTCGAATGCTGCCTCCTAGATTATCCTCTGCATTACCAGTCTTCACTTTCTGACTAATAAAACTTCATGATGCAACAGAGAAATTAACTGGTGTTATACAAGTGCAAATACAATTTCCTGAATAATGAACCTGTCAAGCTCATGAGCAAAAGGAGATGTGATCCCATTAAATTTAAAAGAAAAACAGAAAGCAGTTTGATCTGAGGACAGCAGGTAGCAAGCTTTGTCTCTGTGACACTTTCAAGAAAAAAAAAATTAGATGTTAAGTCTTCCAGAAGTATGACTCAGTCAAAAACCATTCAAAAAGGTGACTGCTCTAAGTTTTCACCCTCTACTCTGGGGCAACTCAATTAAAAGAAGCTAAAAGATTAGATAGATAGATAGATAGATAGATAGATAGATAGATAGATAGATAGATAGATAGATAGATAGATAGACAGACAGACAGACAGACAGACAGACAGACAGACAGACAGACAGACAGACAGATCTAAGTTATTTGCGGTTGCCTTCTAGGATTTTTTTTTTAAATTCTAATTCTATAGCCCCAAAATTCCCTGTGGTCTTCTGTTCAACCAGATCCAACTCTTCTTATCTTTCAAGCACAGACAAGATGAGCTGCTCTGGGGGGGGGGGGGAAACCTTCCAGGAAAAAGAAGGAAGAGAAGGAAGTAACCTAATCCTCCAATAATGTCTCTGCATCTGAGAACACATCTCCTTGGAAGGCCAGAAAACAAACAAATTTGCAGTGCCCAGTTAAAAAAATGATTGCCTCTCTCTGCATGAAGTAGGGATTGGAAGCACTAACATCCCTGTTTCTCTCTCCCTCGCACTGCAAGAGTTCAGTCAAGATAAGTCACAATTAATTCTCCTTATTTATTTATTTATTTAAAAATCCATTCTGTTGCCTTGCCTACTGGATTCATCCTCTTGTTTGCTTGCTTTCTCTGGCAGATTTAGCAGTAGCTGATTGGGAAAATAGTTTCAATCACTCTCTTCTGTAGTCTCAGGGAAAATCTAGTGCCTCTCATGGCAATAATTCCATTTATAATTTATATTTTTAATATTTGTAATACTGCACTGGAGAAAAATTCCTTGTGTGTCTAATCACACTTGGCCAAATAACGTATTCTATTCTGTTCTGTTCTGTTCTGTTCTGTTCTACTATTAGCTAAAGTATTTATTATTTTCATATAATAAATATTTGATATGTCAAACCTCATGAAAGATTAGATAAGATGAAGGATTTAGGGACCCCTGGATTAAATGCATAGGAGAGGCATATTCAGACTAGAAAAAGATGGATCTTTTTAAACACTTAGAATTGTTCTTGGAACAATTGTGCTCTGACCCAACTTAATTGTAACAGATCTCTGGGGAATAAGCAAGCATCACCATTTAAAACTAATTGCAGCTTCCAAGTAATCATCAAGGGCAGCACCAATTAGAATGTGTTACAGCAGAGGGTCTTCAAACTTGGCCCTTTTATGACTTGTGGACTTCAACTCCCAGAATTCCTCAGCCAGGCACACTGGCTGAGGAAGTCTGGGAGTTGAAGTCCACCAGTCATAAAAGGGCCAACTTTGAAGACCCCTGTATTACAGTAATCCAGAGTCATTAGTAGTGAAGGCAGAAGTCTCTATTGTCTAGGTATGGTATTCTGAAAAGGGTCACAGCTGCTATTCCAGTGTGGCTATGTAAAGGATCCCCTGGCCATAACCTCTCATCTCTGATCAAGCAGACTTTCAAGAAGGAAATTGCAGACTAAAGACACCTCTATAAAAAGTGAAACCAACATCTGAAGTAGAAGACAGAGCCAGTGAATAGACTGGCCCATCAGTAATTCCTTCCTCTGCCAAGAGAGGACTTGTGATCACCCACAAGTGCTCCAACAGTTGCTCCTCCCCAGGAGACCACAAGATAGCAATCATCTGGAGATTGCTATCTTGTGGTTTCCTGATGAGGAGCAACTGTTTAAAAGCTTAGAGCAGAGGTCTTCAAACTTGGCC